TTTGTTTTTTTTTTTTGTTTTTTTTTTTTTTTTTTTTTTTTTTTTTTTTAAGTTAGGGTTGTCTGTGTAGCTCTGTAGACCAGGCTGGCCTCGTACTCACAGAGATCCACCTGCCTCTGCCTCCCAAGTACTGGGATTAAAGGTGTGTGCCACCACCACCTGGCTCTAATCTTGTATTTTTTAAAAAGATCACATGTTGCAAATAAATGCATTTATTTAAGGGGGGGGGCAGGCGAGGTAGTGGTACATGAATTTAATCCCAGCACTAGGGAGGCAGAGGCAGGTGGATCTGTAGTTCAAGGCAACCCTGATCTATAGAGTAAGTTCCAGGCCAGTCTAGGCTAACATAGTGAGACCCTGTCTCAAAACAATAGCAACACACCCAAAACCCAAATAAATAAAAATAAATCATGGTCGGGGGCTGGAGAGATAGCTCAGAGGTTAAGAGCACTGACTGCTCTTCCAAAGGTCCTGAGTTCAATTCCCAGCAACCACATGGTGGCTCACAACCATCCGCTATGAGATCTGGTGCCCTCTTCTGATATGCAGATATACATGGAAGCAGAATGTTGTATACATAATAAATAAATAAAATCTTTAAAAAAAAGAAAAATTAAAAATAAATAAATAAATAAATCATGGTCACTACATGTTTTTCTTCAAATACAGAAAAAAGTACCAACACTTTAATCATTAAGTCTATTATGAAATTAAATAAATAAAACAGAAAATCTCTAGTCATAAACACAAAAGCTTTTAAAAAACAAAGGTTAGAGGCTGGAGAGATGGCTCAGTGGTTAAGAGCACTAACTGCTCTTCCAGAGGTCCTGAGTTCAATTCCCGGCAACCACATGGTGGCTCACAACCACCTTGAATGAGATCTGGTACCCTCTGCTGGCATGCGGGCAGAAGACTGTATACATAATAAATAAATAAATAAATAAATAAATAAATAAAATCTTAAACAACCAAAAAAAGCCATTAAAAAAAACAACAACAACAAAGGTTAGTGACTGCAGTTCACACAGTCAAGTCACACCAAGAAAGTAAAATATCAGAGAAGGCAGCCAAGCCTATCTTATCCTAAATTTTTTGGCTAGGCAAATAAACAAACAAAAAACAAGCAAACAAAGAAAACTTATTTAAAAAGCAAAAATCCTCAAGTGACTGAATTACAAATGAAACTGACCAGGACACTCTGTTATCATTGTAACTGAAGCCATTTTAAAGGCATGACCACACAACTGCAGTAATGAGCAAGAAAGTGAAGGTACCAGGAATCACGTCTTCTTTTAAGACAGGCTCTCTGTATAGTACTGATTGACCAGGAACTTGGTTTTTTTGTTTGTTTTTTTTTGAGATGTATAGGCCTAGCTGTCCTGGATGTGCTCTATAGACCAGGCTGACCTTGAACTCATAGAGATCCCGTCTCTGCCTGGGATTAAAGGTGTGTACCAGCACACCTGTCTTCTTTAAATTTTTCTTTTATAAGTTACATTTATTTGATTTACATGTGCACACAGCAAGCATGTGAAGGTCAGAAGACAACTTGCAGGAGTCAGTTTTCTCTTTACATGTGGGGTCCTGGGGTCAAACTTAAGTCAACAGGCTTGGTGGCAAACACCTTAACCTGCTGAGCTGTCTCACCAGCCTGGAATCATGCCTTCTGAGGTCAGTTCAGAAAATTTGGGCTGTTTCATGTGGAGTATAATTATATATAGGAACTATGTATATAGCTCTAAGTCTCAGGTCAGGCATCCCTTGTTTTGTGAGTGTGGACAAGAGCACAAGGCCTGTACCATCTACATGATGGAACTGTACACCTAACTTCCTGCATTGGATTGAGGACTAAATAAGACAATGCATACAAAAGGCACAATTAAAGGCAGGAGGAGGTACATAAACTTTTCTATTAGAAATGTTTATGATATGGAATTGGAAAGATGTCTCAATGGTTAAGACCACTGGCTGCTCTTCCACAGGATCTGGGTTTGATTCCCAGAACCCACATGGTAGCTCACAACAGTCCGCAACTCAGTTCCAAAGAATCTGACATCCTCTTCTGGTCTCCACGGGGCCCTAGGCATGAAATGGTACAGAAACATACATGCAGACAAAATACCCTTACACATAAATTTTTTAAGAAGTTTATGATAAAAGCATTATAGACATTATTATAAAAAAAATTATAGCTCAGTTGGTAGAGTACATCCCTCACAAGTACAAAGTCCTAGACCCCAGCACCACGTTACCTGAATATGGTGGCACATGCCACTAAACCTAGGACTTAGGAGGTAGAAGCAGAAGGACCACAAACTAAACATCATGTGAGTTTGAGGCTAGCATGAGATACATAAGACTCCACCTATCTCAAAAATAAGAAAGCAAACAAACAAAAAACCCCTATAGATATAATTGTTAGAGATGACACCCAGAATAGTAATAAGGCATGAAACTTGCTTGGAATGCATCTACAGATATAAAAAACAACAAGATCTCCAAACACCATGGGTTATGTGACTATATGCCTAAATACTATGCAATTGGCAGTTAGAATCCTTATCTTGTACATAACTCTTTCCAACACACTACTAATTCCAGATTATCTTTTCATTGACTTTAAACAAATTATGGTGAGTTAAGTTACTTTAAATGAAAAAAAGAAAAAAAAATTTGTAAGGAAAATCATTTTTATTCAAGCTAAATCCAAGAGATTTGTAAAATAAAGTGGCATTTATTCAAGTATCTCACTTGGGAAAAAAAATCAATGGCTGAGGTCATTTAGCTCTGATTTTATGCAAGCTAATATGGCTGTCTTTAATGCCTTTAACTGTGTACTCTCTCCCTCTCCCTCTCCCTCTCCCTCTCCCTCTCTCTCTCTCTCTCTCTCACACACACACACACACACACACACACCCCAGTCCCTCTCCACGGATAGTAGACCTTTATACTCCTAAGCAAGGAAGCCAGCTCCACTTGACTAGCTGGGGAGAGAGCGGGCAGCAAGCTGAGGAAGCTTTTAAGGTCTGATTCATTCAGTCACAAACGCCCCAAGTGAGTGCTTCTGCGTGGAGGATAGGATTCTCACTGCCAAGACATGTTTTTAAAAAAAGTTTTATAATATCCTAGTCCACACTGTGTCTTTTGAAATAACAATGTCAGCCAGGCAGTGGTGGCAGACGCCTTTAATCCCAGCATTCAGGAGGCAGAGGCAGGCGGATCTCTGTGAGTTCCAGGCCTACATACTGGTCTACATACTGAGTTCCAGGACAGGCTCCAAAGCTTCACAGAGAAACCCTGTCTCCAAAAACAACAACAACAAAAATCCAAAAAATGAAATACCAATGTTCCTCACATAAAGCTATTCCAGAAACCCTAAAGCCCCTCAAGTATTAACTCCCCCAGCCAGAATCCACCATTTTCTCATTGATGTATCAAATGCCCTTTGTTAGACTTTATTGTTTATGCATATATTTACACTGCCAAAGGAATCATAAATGATTTACATGTAAAAAAACAAACAGTAACACAGGTCAAATGCTAGGTGTTGAAAATAACCAATGAGGGAAAAAAATGCAGGCTTATGGCTATGTGGGGAATGCTGTATTAACTTCAAGACACATAAGCCTTGCAGTATGCTAGTGGCAAGTACAGAGCAAGCTAGGACACTAGAAGGGAGCAGAGTTAAGGGATGGTCTCACATAGAGGGAGTTTGGGCAAGGACATGACCGGCTGTAGAGAATCAGGTTCAGTCCAGAGGCATGAAATATGGGTGTAAAGTTTCCGTTACATGAGGTTCCAGAGAGCATTCTGGAAAACATGCTTACAGTTAATGCTGCTTTGAACATTTTCAAATGTGCTAAGAGGAAACTGAACTCAAATGATGTGCTTTTACGACTAAAACAAAGGAAGTCTTGGCACAGTGTTCATGTGTATAGTTCAGGTTGTTTAGACTGCTAGAATCACTTGTGCCCAGGAGTTCAAAGCTGGCCTCAAAAACAAAGCAAGATCCCATCTCAAAAGAAAAAAAAAAAAGAAAGAAAGAAAGAAAGAAAGAGGGAAACAGCATGGACTGTCTGGGAACTTGCTGTGAGCAGACCACAAGACCACTGACACTACCTTGACAGGAGGAAACAGCAGCCAGGAGCAGGCTAAGAGCCAAGGAACACAGCCTTGGGGCCAAAGCTGGCACATTTAAATTTCCTAGGCAATAGGGTAGCCACAGAGAAATCGGATCAGAGCAACAGAAGCCACAGTGTGGGAAGCAGATGGTTTAACAAGGTAGGCATGGAGGCTGACAAACTCTGATGTAGTCTAGGAGAGACCAAAAAGCCCAGCCTAGCACAAGGTACAAGAGCAGGTAAGCCTTGTCTAACACCACTATTTGGAATTCTTTAGTTAATTCATCTCTTTACTTCCTTCTGTCAGGGCCTCTGACACTCTTCTTCGGTAATATTCTCACGTCTAGAACAAAATCTTGTATACAGTAAGTGCTCAGTCAATAACTCCTAAATCAATAAATCCTTGAAGACAGGAACCCCAGCTAAGTCTTCTTTTTTTTTTTAAACAAAGTTTCTCTGTGTAGCTTTGGAGCCTATCCTGGAACTTGCTCTGTAGACCAGGCTGGACTCAAACTCACAGAGATCTGCCTGCCTCTGCCTCCTGAGTGCTGGGATTAATTTTGTGCATCACCACCACCACCCAGCTAAGAAGTCTTTATTCCTCAACAACTGCAGTGGAATGAATGATGTGTGTAAGGATGCTTTTACTAGTGTACTATTTAAAGACACATGCATGTCCTGAACATTTTCAAATAATGACGTCAGCTGGTATAGCTCAGACAGTGGAGTGTGAGCTCCTGGGTTTTATCTTCACTGCCACTTAAACTGGGAGTATTTGGTATACACCTGTAATCCCAGGACTTGGGAAGTGGGTAACAGAGGATCTGAAATTCAAGGTCATACTTGGCTACAAAGGGAATTTGAAGCCAGCTGGACCTAGAGCTTGTCTAAAAACAAAACAAAAAACCAAACAAACCACATGACATCAAATACCTTGTCCAGAGAAAATTTCAAACCATCAGCACTTCACAACCCACATGGGCATCAGGCAATCTAGCTGGACCCTTGGTATTTTTGAGATCCCTGTTGCAGCACAAGCCAGAAACACCATGGTCTTCCTGAGCTTGTGTGACAGAATCCCCTCACATCATGAGGGTGGTACATCATTTCCTAGACTGCACTGTTCCCCAAGGCTGCAGCCACCAGTGGAGGCCAGTGAGCAGTTGACAACTCCTCACAATGCCTGGCAGCCCAGGGACTCTGTGAGGGGCCCCATGGAGGAGGAACACAGATTTAACTTCTCTGTTCTATAAAGAACAGAAGAGGGGGGTGGGGCTGGAGGGATGGCTCAGAGATTAAGAGCACTGGCTGCTCTTCCAGAGGTCCTGAGTTCAATTCCCAGCAACCCACATGGTGGCTCACAACCATCTGTAATGAGATCTGGTGCCCTCTTCTGGCCTGGGCAGAACACTGTATACATAATAAATAAATAATTTTTTCTAAGCAGGAAGAACAGGAAAGGGCAGTTTAATTCTTCTGAGGTAGAACATGCCAGGCTCAGCAATCACTTGACAGATACATCACCACAGTCTGCACAAGTCCTCCAAATGCCAGAATTCCAGGCAACTGCCCACTGCCCAATTACAGAGACTCTTCAATAGCATGGCAATTTTGGAAAAGTGTTCTCTGCCTCTGAGAAACAACAACAACAGGATTTTGGGGGGCTGGGTAGGTGGAGATCTATTCTGCATTCAGTACCTTGGGGAAAAAAGTACAAGTGCCAAACCAAGTTCCAAGCTTCTATGCAAATCCTGACTTCCACTTTCTAGTTTGAAGTTAAGTCAATAATTTAACCTATCTAATTTTTTTTATTTGAAAAATAAAAATGATTTGGTCTGTCCAACAGGGTTCCAGGAAGCCCACGTGATGGTTCATCTCAACTGCCAACCTGATAAGATGGATTGAGAATCAGCTAGGAGAAGGGTCTCTGGGCATGCCTGTAGGGACTTGGTTGACTAGATTAACTGAGGCGTACAGATCCACCCACCAATCCCTAGGCTGGGATCTTGGAATATATAAAGAGAAGCTAGTGGGTTAAACAGAGGCTTTCACCGCTCTCTGCTTCTGAACTGTGGGTGCAATGCAAACTCCTGCTTCGGTCACTACCCTACCACTATGAAATACTATTCTCCTGTAAGTTGCTTTTGTTGGGCTATTTTATCACAGTAACTTAGACATATATAACATACTTGATATGGTGTCTGCTACCCAACAGGCATTAACAAATATTAGTTTCTTTTGTGGGTGGGGATGAGAGGTAAGTGAGGAACATCTTACATGGACCAGGCCTTTTGGGGCATCACACTACAGAAGCTATGGAAATGGACAACTGGCTGTTTCTGCCTCTGCTATACTTGAGTAACAGAGGCTGTCCCAAGTACATAAAGGAAACTAATCTGTTTGCCAGGGAAGGAAATAGCACAGGATGAAGATTCTAAGTTGTTTGAAGCTCCTTCCTAATTACCACCCATAATGAAAATTTAATTGCCAAGTTAAAAGCAAATTTCACTTTTTCTGTCAGAGAATCTCTGCAGAAACTGCCACATTTTGTTTGAACAGGAAATCAAAGTTACTTTAATGCTTAAATGAGATCTAAGGAGCTGCAGATGTTTCTTTGGGAATAACAAGCTTCAAAACTGCCTCACTAGGTTGCAACAACTCACAGCTTCAGCGAGACCTGGAGCTGTCTGCACTGGTGCTCTGGGTTAGCTGTGGTTTATCTATCCCCATGGTTCATGCCTTGGAAGCTCCATGTGTTTGGTGATGCTAAGGGGCGGGGCCTGGTGAGAGGTTCTTAGCTCACCTGGGACAGTGTTCTTGGGAAGGATTAATGGACCAATAGTGGGGTTCTTCAAAGAGGTTGTCACCAGTAGGGCCACCAGGACTTGCGCTCTAAGCCTCCAAAACTATGAGCTAAATAAACCTCTGCTGGGGCTGCAAGCATGATGACCCGAGTTCAGTCTTCAGAACTCATGTGACTCACACAACTGTGCTCTGACCTACACAAGCATCCCATGGCAAACACTAAATTTAAGAAATAAAAAATAAATTAGCTGAGAGGTGGTGGTACATGCCTTTAATCCCAGCACTCGGGAGGCAGAGGCAGTCAGATCTCTGTGAGTTTGACGACAGCGTGGTCTTCAAAGAGAGTTCCAGGACAGCCTCCAAAGCTACCGAGAAACCCTGTCTCATAAATAAACCCTTTTATTTCAAAGTAGACTGCCTCAGTTATTTCCTGATAGCAATGAAAAACTGGTAATAGGTAGCCCCAAGTGATGGAAAGGATTCAAATTCTAAGTACCCAGTGCTAGGTCAGAGAGAGGATCTCTGGCACAGAGGCACTTTCAACACAGTAGAAAGAGAACCAGGAAACATCTCAAGGTTAGGAAGTACACTCAAAACTCTCAAGAAGGCATTAGGGAAATGTCTGGTGATCTACAAGGATGACACCAACTAACAATCTAAGCAACAGAGGAGAGGCTACCTTAAATGCCCTCCCCTGATAATGAGATTGATGATTAACTTATATGCCATCTTATAGCCTTCATCCAGCAGTTGATGGAAGCAGATGCAGATACTCACAGCTAAACACTGAGCTGAACTCCTGGAATCCAGTTGCAGAGAGGGAGGAGAGATGAGCTGAAGGAGTCCAGACCAGGCTGGAGAAACCCACAGAAACAGCTGACCTGAACAAGGGGGAGCTCTTGGTCCCCAGACTGATCACTGGGAAACCAGCATGAAACTGATCCAGACCCCATGAACGTGGGTGTCAGTGAGGATGCCTCGGAAATCTATGGGGTCTCTTGTAGTAGATTACTACTTATCCCTAGCATCGGAATGGACTTTGGGAGCCCATCCCACATAGAGGGATTAGAGGGATACTCCCTGAGCCTAGAAGTGGGGGGGGGGGGAACAGACTAGGATTGACATGTAAAACAATCTTGCTTCTAATTAAAAAAAAAAAAAAAACTCAAGAAATCTCAGGGTCATGGAAAAACAGCAAGAAAGAAAAAGGTGACCCTCCTGAGGGTGCTGTCACATGGGTGCCTTCCAGCTGACAGTCTCTCACCTGTAAGGTGCTGGTGAGGAAGTTGTCCTGGGAGACAATGTCCACAAAGAAGTCAGCAGGGATCTCACCGAGCTGGTGGTACAGGATGGAGATGAGGCTGACGTACAGGGTATGGTGCTTTACCATGGCTGCTTCCGACCGACACAGAAGGTTCAGGAGCCTCTTCCAGTGCTCAAATGCCTCGTACACATTGCCCAGCAGGAAGCACACAAAGGCAAACTGCAATTCACCTAAGAGATACAGAGAAGAGCTAAATTCCTCACAGCAAGGCATACCAGCTGACACTTCCCTACATGATTTACAATGCCATCATTTACACTAGACCTTAGCAGCAGGGAGCCTTGTCCCCTTGTCACTCCAACAGAACTTAGGATGGGATTCTGCATTCAACAAGCACTCAGAAAATATTTGCTAAACTGCTAAAACTTCAAACCATGGGACACCAAACTGTGGCTAGGTATTTATACAACAATGGTCAAAAGAGAAGCAGTAGTACTACCACACACCTGACATTTTAGGAGGGGGACCCTAAATCTACTCCTCAGAATTACTAACAAATCTCATTGAAAGCAAAGCTGCCCAGAGCTAGAGAGGTGGTGGCTCAGGGGTTAAGAGTATTTGCTGCTCTTCCAGAGGACCCAAGTTCAGTTCCCAGCACCCACTACTTTTTTTTTTTTTTTAAAGATTTTATTTATTTATTATGCATACAACATTCTGCTTCCATGTATATCTGCACACCAGGAGAGGGCACCAGATCTCATAACGGATGGTTGTGAGCCACCATGTGGTTGCTGGGATTGAACTCAGGACCTCTGGAAGAGCAGTCAATGCTCTTAACCTCTGAGCCATCTCTCCAGCCCCCGACTACAGGCATCTTAAACTATCTGTGACTCCAGCTGCAGGAGAGCTGATATCCTCGTCTGGTCTCTGTGTGCACCTGCACTCAGACACATACCCACATATACATACCACACAGACACAGACAGACACAGACAGACACAGACAGACAGACAGACAGACAGACAGACAGACAGACACACACAATTAAAGATAATATAATAAACCCTAAAATTTACAAAAAGAAAGTAAGTAAAAGTGCCCACTTGTCAACTCAGAGATTTGGTTAAGTAGAGATGATGGACTCAAGAATTTCTAAGAACAAGATCAAAGCATAGTATTTTACAACCAGCTTTTAGCATTTCCATGTCACTGAAATGGTCACCTCTTAGTGGCTAGTATTCTAAGCTTCCAGATGACATGACCCACTCTAGGGCTGGTGAGAAGCTGCATCATACACCATGCTCTGTCCTTAGTCCAATTCCTCTAGGTCATCAGAGAAGGCAGTATTTCCCTCGTTTTAAGATGAGGCCAAGGGCATGCCAAAGATCATATAATTAATGTTTTGAATGATGGAAAGCTATAACAGATTTGATGCTGGGTAGGAACACTTCCCACAGCAGGAAATTCCTAAGTTCTTATTACCAGTCAGCTTAGTTTTGTTTATTTAATCACAGGGCTCTGATATCATCTCTGAGCAGACTAATGGCTAAGAGCATGGGCTTTGAAGCCAAAGAGCCTGTATTCAAATCCCAGCTCTACTACTTAGACGTGGTGTGACCTAAGGCAAATTTCATAATCTACTTATGTGTCCATTTCCTTATTTGAGAGTTATAATGAAGAGTAAATTACTTACTACAGTGCCTGTTAAACACTTAGAATAATATGGGACATAAAAAAAATAACATGGGACATAAAGTAGTACTTAAAATGCCAGTTTGTTTTTTTGTTTTTTTTGGTGGTTTTTTCGAGACAGGGTTTTTCTGTGGCTTTGGAGGCTGTCCTGGAAGTAGCTCTTATAGACCAGGCTGGTCTCGAACTCACAGAGATCCGCCTGCCTCTGCCTCCACCTGTGCCACCACCACCCAGCTAAAATGTCAGGTCCTATTTGAATCTCTGATTCCTGTCTCCAACAAAGACCTGACAATCCAGAAGCCACTGTACATGTGTGCAAGCAACAGGGGTCTGCCTGCCAGATAAACTATACCTGAGCTAGATGCAGTGATTCGATCTGTAATCCCAGCACTTGGGGGCGGGACCACTGCCACTGCAAGTATTAGGCCATGCAGGGTTGCAAAGCAAGACCTTGGCTCTAAATAAATGAACACACTCACATTGACTCACCAGACACATTCTCCCTGGCTTCAAAGGTAGCCATAAATTTAAGCTAAGTATATATGAGCCATAAAAAGAATGAATCAGTCAGGCAGTGGTGGCGCACGCCTTTAATCCCAGCACTTGGGAGGCAGAAGCAGGCGGATCTCTGTGAGTTAGAGGCCAGCCTGGTCTACAAGAGCTAGTTCCAGGACAGCTAGGGCTGTTACACAGAGAAATTTAGATTAATTACACTAATTAAATTTATATTACTATGTCATGCATTAAGATGTACCCATTAAAATCTCTATTGTATCATCAGTTCAGCTAAGGCTATAAAAAGGTCTATAAGCAACCTTCTCACCAACCTCCACCGACAGGAAATTATGTAAATGCCCTGGACAATTTATAAAAAGGTAAGGACAGGAGTTAAAGGTGTAACAGGGCAGGGGAGATGCTTAATCAGTAAAGTACTTGTCCTGCAAGCACACAGCCTAGGGTCAGGTCCCAGAACCCAAATTAAAAACCTGGAGTGGTGGTGTAGGGCTCACAATCCTAGCCCTGGAAAGGCAGAGACAGGAAGATGCTTGGGGTCTCCTGACCAGTTAGTCTAGTCTACCTGGAGAGTTCTAGGTCAATAAGAGAACCTGTCTCAAAAGAAAAAGGTTAGTAGTGCTTAAGAAATGACACCTGAAGGGCTGACCTTTGACCTCCATATGTGGCAAATGTATGAACACACACAAACAGAAAAACAAATGATTGCTGTCATTGGTATTCAAGAAATAGAAATGAGATGCCACTTTTCAACCACTGAATTGAAGAGGCCTTCACCAAGAAACCATGCTGAGTGCTGTCAAAGGTGATGAACAACTTCCTACCACCTGGTAAGGAGGCAAAATCTGGCAACACACACAGTCCAACCCTAAGCTTGCTTATTAGGCTTATTTATAACAGAAAAAGAGAAGCATCTTAAGGAGTGACCACTGAGAACTGGCTCTGTTGCTCTGAACACTGAACAGGTGAGCAGTGACGTGGAAATACAGCACATCTTAAAACAAAACTCTTTAATCTATAAAATTATATAATAATTTATAATAATTATATAATAATAATCTATAAAATTTGCTTCTATAAAAATCACATGTACTCCTAGAATGTAACTGAAATTTAAAAGACTGAAATATAATAGCCCGGTGTTGGTGGTACACGTCTTTAATCCTAGCACTTGGGAGGCAGAGGCAGGCTGATCTCTGTGAGTCTGCGGCCAGCCTGGTCTCCAGAGAGAGTGCCAGGACAGCCTCCAAAGCTACAGTGAAACCCTGTCTCGAAATAAAATAAAACAAAAAAGACAAGTGAAATCTAAAGAAATACACAGGAAAAAGAGAAAAGATAACCCAAGATGAGCCTCTATTCTAAAATACAGCCACCAGCATTCTCCCCTAAGAGCCTAGTTCCTTCTTACCGAGTACATCCTGGGGATTGCAAGGGAACTGTTTGCTGAGCACAGTCTCGAGGGCATAGCTCAAGTCCATGCTGTGCCTGGTGATCTCTGCTGGTGTGGCACCTGCTGGGAACATCTGAGCCGGCAACTCTGAGAAGCGGATCTCTGTCCCAGCCCTGGGCTTCATCTCAGGCAGCCGAGCTAAACCCTCCTGGTAGCTTTTGCACTCAGTACCACAGAGGGGTAGATTCTGCTCCACCCTGTCCTTGGTGTGCTTCATGGAAAGCACAGGCAACACGTCTGAGAAGGCACAAATCTGCCGGCTCTCGGGCTGCAGCTTCTCCATGGTGGCCTCATTGATGAAGCTGGTGAGTGAGATCCATTTCTTGAGTGTAGCATAGGGGTAAGGTCCCAGAAACTGGTCTAGCTCAGGGAGATTGGCTCTCATAGCTTCTACTTCAGCCTCTGGAGCTGGAGACAAGTCTACTTCTTCCTGAACGGCGTTCCAACGCAGGACTGTCAGTCCCCGCTGCTTCAGACTAAGAAAGAAGCCCATCCGAGGGCCCACCTCCCTGGGATTGGCCTTGTCCACAGAGCTGTAGTGAAGGAAGTGGATGCCAGGAGGGATCATCTTCACACCCCGGAACTTGGGCCCCACCTCCCAGGAGTTGTAGTCAATACCAAACTCTGTCCCCTTGGGCATGTTCAGAATGACCACAGTGGCTCCTTCAAAGAAGAGTTGCTTGGCTAGCTCAGGATCCATCTGCATGGATGCCATGGGGCCAGTGGTAGGTAACCAAAAGCAGTTCTCTTTCTTGTCTTCTAGAACAGCAGAGAGAAGAGAGAAGAGAGAATGAGCTGACCAGAACATGGGGAAAGGCTACTTCATTTCTTGTACATTCTCTAGATGTCACATTGAATTCCATCCTGATAGAATTAACTCCCTTAACCCTCATGGCAACCGTGCATCTGTTAACATCTGTCTAACCCCGCATCTCTCTAAGAAAATCAGGGTCAAAGAGATTTGGGGGATTTGATTTAAGAAGCAAGAGTCTTCATTCCACCACCAGAGGCACCATTTACAGAGAGGTGATACGCTCAAGGTCACACAGTGCCAAAATGAAAGCCTGACTGCCAACACAGTGGACATCTGTGTCCACTGCACACTTAGAATCCGCACTCAAGTCCTTCTCAGAACAGAGGGTAAGAGTGCAAAACACACACATGGCCCATTTTAAACTAGAACTATGCTAAAATCATTTTATGCTACAATTCCACCTAAAACCTGTTACCACAGATTACCATAAGCTCTGTCAAGGATGTCCAAACTAAATCTGTTTTCAAATTTCCCAAGAGCATCTAAAATTAGCAAAAAGTTTGAGGAATAGAGAGCTTTTCAAACTCATCAAAAACCTAGTTGAAATGGGGGAAAATAAGGGATTGGTCCCCTTGTTTAAAAACAACCTAGCAGGGCACAGTGGTACACATCTTTATTCCCAACTGTTGGGGGATGGAGGCAGAAGAATCAGGAGTTCAAGGTCATCTCTGATTGCTAGAGACGACCTCAGAAATAATAAATAAGAACAAACAGCTGGTGGGAACATGGCTCAGCAAGTACAGAGTTTGTTTAATATGCACCAAGGAAATGTAGAACCACAAGAAAACCATCTATGGGAGGTAGAGGCAGGAAGATCAGAAGTTTAACACTGATCTCAGCTACATAGTGAATTTGAGGCCAGCCTGGAACACATACACAAGACACTGCCTTGCAAACAAGCAAACAAGCAAGCACAAAACAAAAACACCTACAGTCCAGGGAACCAACAACTTCCCAAAGAGCCACAATTCATCCAGAAGAGATTGATATGGCAGGCTGACAGTAAGTATTTGAGGAGGAGCCTAGATTCTTCATTTTGCCCACATTTAAATTCCCTATAAACACTCTGATTAAAAACAAAGTGAGGGTCAGAGTGCTGGCAAATGGCTCAATGTGTAAAGGCACTTGCCTTGTAACCCTGACAATCTCACTTTGGTGGCCAGAACCCACATAAAAGTGGAAGGAGAAAAGAGAATCCACAAAGTTGTCTAACCTGTACGTGCTGGCCACACATAATGTCACCTCATCACGAACTCACATACACACAATATTAGAAACAGAAGTCTGTAGCAGACACTGCCTCTGAACAAATTGTAGCCAATCAACTACTTCAACTTTTACTCCTAAATTACTAATCCAACTGCAAGCACTCAGATTACCTGCACTATGCAAGGTCTTTACTGGACCCCAACAGAAATATCTGCAGAGTAAGACTCCAGACTACCAGTTATCCTCATTTTACACAGAGGTACACAATATGACCTCAAAATTCACAAACATTAAAATCAAGTGCTTAATTCTGTTTACTCTTTAAAACAACACATGAAAAAAAAATCCTTTTTACAAAAAAATGTTAGGAGCACACTTTGTCTTTAAAAACATGAGAAATGACTCTCTAAATCAGCACTTTTTTCAAACTGCAAACCATAACTTGAGTTAAGAAATCAGTTTTAGAAACACAGCTAATCTGAAATAATGAAAAAAGTCACACAGAGGCTAGAAGAGCATGCTGAAGTCCCTGAACCTGAAGTTGGAGATGGTTGTGAGTGAGCACCATGAGGGTGGCAGGAACCAAGTCCAGGTCCTCTGGAAGAGCAGGCAGGACTCTTAACCACCAAGTCATCTCTCCAGCACCAAAAACAGAATTTTTTTTTTTGGGGGGGGGGAAGGGGATGGTTCTGAAGATAGGGTTTCTCTGTAGCTTTGGAGCCTGTCCTGGAACTCGCTCTGTACACCAGGCTGGCCTTGAACTCAGAGAGACCCACCTGCCTCTGCCTCCCAAGTGCTGGGATTAAAGGCGTGCACCAGCAAACACCAGGCCAAAACCAGAATTTTTAAGCTATCAGAATGCCACAAGTAATAAGGATGGGTATGATTCCTTGAAGACCTGTGCTTATATGCACACATGGTCACACTGTGAAAGTCTTTGAGACTGTAGTTCACAGTCAACAACATGTGAAACATACAAATGGGATGCATTCTTCATCATCCTGCAACACACAGACACCTCCTCACCCTATTCACCACCTCCCAAGCCCAGAGAGGGGATGTTCCTCAATGTGCACTCTCTCCAACGTCTCATGTGGCTTTGGACAACATAAAACTCTTACTATGGCCCCAAAAACTCTGCAAGAATTACCCTTGGCAATCCTTCAGGTTGTTTAATACCACCCAACTCCCAAGGACTGGTCCGGCCACAAAGGCTTCTTTCTGACTCTCAAACCAGAGAAAACTATCCACGGCACTTTGCCAAATTATTTTCCTGACTTTATTAAAGTCTCCCTGACGGTCCAGTGTTCTGTGATTATACTCTGGGTGCCTTGTCGTCGGTCTATTCCAGTGATAGGTGTGTAACTTCGTGTGCTTGAGTACGGGCTGTCATAACCACAAGACTTGAGTACTACATCCCTAGCACATACACGATGCTTTTAAGTTTTATTTAATAAAATTAATATTCACTTAAATAAAGCCAGGAGGACGGTGACTTACCGGAAGCCACGCAGAGAGGAGGGTAGAACCAGATCGAGTGAGGATAAGGTCTCTGGTCCCCAAGCTCTACAGTTAAAGGGGAAAAAAAAAGTTACTTCGTGGGCCCCCAGGATGCCTGCTCACGGTGTCCCGGGTGACGGGTTTTCAGAGAGAGAGAGGCCTCCTGAGACACCAGCCCACAAACCCACAAACTCGGCCGGCTCGGAGTCACGGGCCTAATTAACTGCACTGCGCGATTCTGCGTCAAGAAGCCAGGTGACCCGGCCACACACAACGAAACCACAGGACGAAAGAAGTATCAAGAGCCGACACTCACCACATAGCCTCACGGTCCGCTCCGCGGAAACGGGACGGAAGTTCGGCGGCTTTGGCAACGGATAGGTGTTACGGAAAAAGTGGTCCGGGGGAGCCCCAGGTCACAGAAGAAATGGCCCGTACTTGCAGGTTCCTCCCAATAAAGCACTGCATTTTCTTCTTGTTGTTTCATTTTACCGCTTGAATTGTGGATAACAATTTTATTTAAACTATGCACTTATTTAAACTTTCCCCTTCCAGAAACATACTCACCAGCCACAGTCCTTTGGTCTCAAGCAGACATGGGCATCAAAGCGTGGTCCGGGTGTCGGTACCCAGTAGCCACAGTTAAACTGGCTCAGTCACGGTTGGCACTCTTTAACCACATCACTATGCCACATCACAATGTCAAAGATGCCCGGTTACCACCCAGTCCCAGCTTCTAGACACACTCATCCCTAGGCAGAGTTTCAGAAACCAAGGCATCTGCCTGAAGGGAGAACAGTTCCTTCAACACTCACCGCAGCAGTCTGTCTGGCAATGATCACCCAGAATACCCAACAGTGTCTTGCAAGCCTAACAGAATACGACAGACATGCTATAAATGCACACCGAGTAAGGAAACCTGCCTGTTTTTTTCTTCACAGTTTCTTTAGAACGTAGCCCATAGTTAGCTATCTTAGATAATATTGTGTGTTAATTACTAATAACAATAATGTAGTATAGTAAGTGACTATTTGTGGTCTGGCCTTGTGCTAGGTCCCAGAGCCACTAGGAGATATATGTCATATATTGCAAAGAAATGCCCTTTGTGATGGTGAGAGCTAGCTAAACAGCACCAAAATTTATAGGTAAGCCACTAGACCACTGTTTCTAATCTTTACACGAACCATAGCCAATGTGTGACACTCCCCCAGTCTTGTACTGTTGATTTTACCTACCTGATAATCTTGTTTATCTTTGAAGATAGGATTTTTAAAGGCTGCCAATCTCTTCTTCAGGTGAGTTTGCCAAAACCTGTTGAAATCTAAGATGGCTGACAGAGCAAAAGACAAACAACCTGTGACTTCATTATCGTCCAGCTGCCTTTTAAGCACCATATTCCAGCATCATGACAGTTGTCAACTAAAAGAAACCATAAAAGCAGTGTCCAAATCCCTGGAAAGTCCCTGCCATTCCTGTAAAGGTAATGAGTGCCCTGGCCCCTTTACTAGCCTCTTTTCTTTGGCATGTTATCTGTATCTTCCTAACCCCAATTGGTCAACAAGTTGATTTGAATTTGTCTTCAATTTCTGTTCCTAACCAAGAATAAGTCTCCCTTGCTGCTAAATGTGTCTTACTGCTGGTGCTACAATCCTCAGAGAGAAAAATGACCCAGGATGGAGATGAAAATTTGGTAATTCGCATTCTCAGTCTACAAAAGAGAAAGCCAAGGTTCAAAGAGGGGCTACAGACCCAGAGAGTACAGGACTGGGATGTAAAACATGATCTAGCTGGAACTCTGGTCCCTGTGCTGCTGCTGTTCCTTGTCTGTCATCTTCCCCAGGGACTGCTGAGTCCATCAATCTGTCCCACTCACAGTTTCACAGTTCATCTCTTAAGAGGTTGAATCATCTCAGACCAGGCTGCATGGGGCAACCGTGGTTAAGCACACTGGGCTGCCACGAGGTTGGTCAGAGGCGATGTTCACTATCAGACACGTCAGTCTCAACCCACCCTGTCAGTTCCGTTTCTTTTTATGTAGCAGCTGACTTCCTCCCCTCCCCTCAGCCATCTTCAGAGCTGAGTTCTGTGGTAAGGTCTCTGGGCTTCATGTTCCAGGTGGCTTCACTGTCTTTTCAGAGACTCAGGGCATTTAACACTGGACACAAAAGTTATAGGATATGAAGATGGTAGCCTGGGACTCCAACTTTGTGAACCATGTTCATCCAAATCACAATTTCTTACCCATTGGTATATGGGGCCAGGTAATTCTTGTTGAAGACAGCTGTTCTGTGCATTGGAGGAAGTTTAGCAGCAAACCCAGGCTCCAATCCATAGAACACTGGGCAACCGTGACACAAAAATGTCTCTAGAAATTGCTTCATCACCCTCTTCAACCCAAGCTGAGAAATACATTGATTTAGATGAACTACCGCAGTTATTCCCTGGAAGCAGAGAGACTAGTTTTATAGGTCCAGGAGGTGTGGAGTCCTAATGTTTGTAAACCAAGTCCTATTCCAGGATCCTAAAAGTCATCACCATTAAAAGAAACCTACAAGGAAAGTTCTGAAACACATTCACAGAGCTCCTTGAAGGTATTGCCTTTCACAATAGATAGGACTGTGAAGAAGAGTGGGTTTTGTCACTGTGGCCTTTTTGGTTGTGAGCCTAACCTTTAATGGCTGAGCTATCTCTCCAGCCTGTCACTGTGGCCTTTGTATCATGTAATGATCTGGCTTTACAGAGAAAATCAGTAATACTTAGTATTTGAAATGAAAGGAAAATGTTAAGAGTGTAAGTTTTAAAAAGTATTTAGGATGGTATGTATGAATGAATTTGACTCTGAAAAATAAATATATGTGGAAAAAAGACTTGTTTAGTCGGCAGCAGTGGCACATGTCTTTAATCCCAGCACTCGGGAGGCAGAGGCAGGTGGATCTCTGAGTTTGAGGCCAGCCTGGTCCACAGAGTAAGTTCCAGGACAGCCAGGGCTACATGGAAAACCCTGTCTTGAAAAACAAAACAAAAAGACCTGTTTTGTGAGATTTGGAGTGATATAGAAGGGTGACCTGGGTGTTTTTCTTGACAGGATAAAATGGAAAATGCAGAATGTATACCTTAGGTAACCCAAGGAATACACTTAGATTTTACATAATTATGATTTTAATTTTAATCTTTACACATTGCTTTCTTTCAGATGTAAGCTCTGTGCATGCCAGGCAAGTACTATACTTACCTCCCTCACCCCAGCATACTCAATATACTCTCCCAGCCCTTTCCATTTATTTCTGCGGACAGTCTTTTCTTTGTCAAGTGGCACTAGTTATTTACCTTTGTAATTATTTTTTAAATTATTTTGTTTTGTTTTGGAGACAAGGTTTCTCTGTGTAGATTTGGCTGTCCTGGCACTCGCTCTGTAGATCAGGCTGGCCTTGAACTCACAGAGATCCACCTGTCTCTGTTTCCTGGATACTGGGATTAAAGGCATGCACCACCACTGCCTGGCTAAATTATTAATTTTTGTAGTACTGTTGTGTTGAATCTAGGGCCTAGTACATGCGAGGCAAGCTACATCCCCAGCTCTATTTTTTTTTTTAACATTTTGTGGTGCGTGTGTGTGTGTGTGTGTGTGTGTGTGTCTGTCTGTCTGTCTGTCTGTCTGTCTGTCTGTCTGTCTAGGAAAGCGTTTGTACCAGGATGTGCATGTAAAGATCAGAGGAAAACTTGCAGGACTCAGACTCTCCTTCCACCATGAAGGGCCTAGAGATTGAACTCAGGTTGTCAGGCATGGTGGCGAGTGCTTTGGCTAAATCTTTCCCTGCTGAGTCATCTTGCTGGTCCCCTAACTTCCTCTCTTAAATGTTTTCAAAGTTCCTTTAAAGAAAAGTTGTCACTAATGGGATGGGTGGCATGAGGCTGTGGAGCACATGTGACAGGATTGCTGGGCACATTTTCCACAAGGCTCCCAGACAGGGGGTTTGCTTTTCTTTCAGATGGATTATGCTACATTTCCACGCTCCAGGTCGTAGGGCTCACATACTTACTGTCCCCTCTGCCTAGAGAGTTCTTATTCAAGATTTTCACCTTATTGGATCTTTCTCTTTATTCTAAAATGACCTCCGTAGGGAGGTCCTTAACTGGCTAACCACTGTTTTTCCCTTTGTGGTGCCAGGAATCCCAAACAGAGCCCTGCACGTGCTAAGCACACATTCCACCACGGAACTACACTCTCACCTTTGGCCTTGTTAAAGGGACCCCTCCAGTGACCTCCACTGCTTCCCCTGTGTTTCCTTCCTAGCACTGATCCCTCTAACCAGTCTTTCCTGTCTCATTGTTTCCTCCAGTGGCCTGAGAGCCCCTGACCAGCAAGGGCTCTGCCCTGTGTGCCACTGAACCCACAGAGGAGCTCCAGCCTAACAAATTAAAATTGTTCTACATTAGAGCCTGGCTTGGTACACGCCTTTAATCTCAGCCTAGGAAGGTAGAGGCAGGAGAATTTCTTTGAGTTCCAGGCTAGGGCTATATGGTGTGCCCGAAACAAAAGAAAAGTGTCCTACATTGCAATGTCTCCACGCCAGTTCTGTATCAACTGGTACCAGCAGCCAAGGTCAGAGGAGAGAAGGGAGGCTGAGGGAGTCCATGGTTCAGCATCAAACACATTTATTTCACTTTTATTGAGTATACAAGAACAGAGAGCACACACACAGCACGGAGCACTGAGGTGGGGGAGCGCGGGGACAAGAGAGAAGAGAGGGAAGAGTGAAAAGGAACAGGACAGCAGTGCAGCTGGTTGGTAAGGTGCTTCTGAAAAAAATATATATTTAGAGTGATGTTGCTCATGCAATCTCAGGCCAGTCTTGGTATGTGCTTGCAGGGTTCAAAAACCGAAACAGGTCCTGGTACTCCCTGTACCCTCACATGGAAAAGATCCATAGAAAGTAAAAGTCGGGAAAATAAAGGTGTGTGAGACACAGAGTGGGAAAATGGCTCAGACTGCAACTAGTTGCCCTGCTCGTTTAATTCAGTGGGATGGAGTAGCCCAACGTTGCATGGTGAGATGGTCACCCAGAACTCTGACTGCTCTCTGAGGCTTTTCCCACTCTACTACCTGGCCTCCTGGATAGAGAGGTGCCACAGAGAAGATGACACAGACACACACACACACACACACACACACACACACACACACACACACACACACAAGAAAAAGAAAAAAAATAAAGAAAATAGGTTGAAGGCAGACGAGACAACGAATATCCTTATTCTCTATGGAATGGAGGATGGGGAGGAAACAGTGCCCTAGATTTTAGCTTTGCAAATCCCCTCCTCCCTGGGCAGGGTGCTGACTGCCTCTCTGGGGGGGGGGGAGGTCAAAACATCCGTGTTGTGAGTATCTCCCAAATTCTAACATCCCACAAGCTAGGCCCGGTCATTTCATCCTTGCCTTGTAGCCCACATTCAGGGCAGTTGCAACCCTCCCAACAAAGATCCTCCCTTTGAGGTATGTATGTCCAGTGTGTGCAGGCCAGGAGTTCCTGCAGAGGCAGGTGAGGCCTGAGCCCAATTCCAAGGGGATAGAGCCATTCCTGCTCTTGGCTCAGAAGCAGCAGGAGCTTGCATGTAGTAAAGGGGCGGGCAGGAGGTTCTGTGACTTCTCCATCAATAATGGACAAAGATCCTGGAGCAGAGAAAATGCTCTGTCACACTGGAGTGGGCTACTAGACTGCACCAGGGGCATATGGCTGACTCTACAATCTAAGAGCCTGGCTCTACTTCTCAGCTGCCACAGAGGAAAGCTATTCTGGCTTCTTGCCCTGTGTCTGGCCAGCACCTGTAAATAGGTAAGGTGTACATTGTAGGAGCAACTAATAAGCAAGCCCAGAGGGCACATCTAGCCTGGACCCTCTGAGACATTTCCAGGTAATGTCTTATCAGATGGAGGAGTGGAGAAGTTCTGAAATGAGCCAGGTATGGTTAGGGATAGGCTTGTCTAATGGCTTCCCAGGGCCCCCCTTCCCTTTCATGCTTCTCCTTCCACCTTGAAAACAGAGCCTGGCACAAATGGGCAACCCATAAACATTTGCTGAATAAATATATGAACTGCCTTAGCAGGACTAGGAAGTGAATTGGGACTGCTGTAGGACATTTTCCCTTAGAAAGGGACATTGCTTGTGGCAAGCAAGCCAGAAGAAGCTTGCATATGCCAGAGTGTAATGCCAAGCTTGTGGTGGAGTTTTCTCCAAGGGCTCCTGTCATCTTGAGGCCATTTCTGACCTTGGATACCGACTGACAGCAGTCTTGCAAGCCAGGGTTTAATGTAGAGGGAGCCAGTGGGCAACACTTCCTCGTACTTGCTATTGTTCTGGGATAGGTGAGGCCTTTGGAAATGCAGTATGGGCCTGTCATGGCCTTCCCTGTATTCATGGCCTCTTTATCATGGCTACTTTAGCTCAGGAAAAAGAGCATGATTCACATGATGGAAGTGGCATAGGGGGAAGACTGGCTGGGCGTTTCAGAAAACCAGGTTAGAGCCATTGCTTTTTACCTGGGCCAGGGTACCACTTCCCTTAAGACAAGGGATTCATTGTGACAAGGTGGTGAAGAGCAGGGAAAGACATGGCGGAATACAAACCAAAACAAAGACCCTGGTAATAGTAAAACAGAAAGAGAGGACTGAAAACCAAGGCAAGCCCCCTGGAGGTAGGAGGACTGGCCTATGACCTCAGCAGCAGAGTCCTGAGCACAGGGTCCTGACAGCTACTGCTGAGGGAGAAGGCATCTTGGCCTGGCATGTTCGGAACTACATCTGTGTTGCTTCCTTCTGGCCAAACCCTCACCTCTCCATGAAGGGCCCCCCAGTCTCCCCACCAATCACCCAGTTACAAACACCACACACAGTTTCACTACACTGAATCTGCAGCGCTACTGGAAGCCGGCCACACCCAGAGTTCAGTGTCCTCGGCTGGGCCAGTTTGGCAAGATCTAGGAACCTTGGGATACATCACAGTCAGGTAATTATAACTTGAAAATGTCAGCTGCATACTTACCAGCACAGTTTATTTTAATATCTGTTTCCTGTTACATGTAATATACATAACTTAAAATCACAGTCATACAATCTCCTATGAGCTGCACCTCCGTCAAGAGAAACCGGAAACATACAATGTCTACTTCCCTTCCCATGGCTTCCTTTTGCTCTTGTAGTCTCTTTTTCTTCCAATGAGAGTCATCTGCAGTGGCCCTCAGCAGGACCAGGACACAGAAGAGGAGGGTCGGGGAGAGAGGCAGGAGGGAGCTGAGACAGAAAATGGAGACAAGATGAGTAGAAGTCAAGGGGGAAGCAGGGAGGCAGAAGAACAGAGAGGGGGTTTGGCAGCCCAGTGTCAAGACCCAGAAATAACAATCAAGTGTTCCTCTCACTCCTCCTCCAAGTTGGAGACTTCCATTCTTTCCTTCCTGGAAAATAGTTGACTGTGTGTGTGTCTTGCTGCTGTGACTTCTCTTGCTTGGCTACGTGATCTTATTTTGTTTCTTCCTTTGCATTAGAGGAAGCGACAGAGAGGCTGGAGAACGAACGGGGGTACTCATCCATCCTGGAGTGTGTGCAGCCAGGGCTCAAGGGGACATCTACAATCATTGTGGTCTGCTTTTGTAGTTTGGCAGGAGAAAGGGGTGGGAGAGCGAGAGATTACGATTGTTACATATCTTCCTGAAAAAAAAAAATTCCCACCAATTCAATTGGTCTGCAAAGGAAATGAAGGTTGTTGCAGATGTTGGTTGTTGCCATCAGCTGACTGCTCCGCCAGCCCCAGCAGCAGTGCAAGGACGCGGTGTTTCCTGATATATATCTATATCTATATATATCTATATATATATATATATATATGCTTTCCCTTCCCAGTCTCTCATCAGTGACAGTATGTCACAGCTGGGATGTTGGTGTTGTCGGAGAATCCAGAATGAAGGCCCCTTCTTAATGGTTCTCTGGCTTGGGTTGGACCAGACACGCCAGCATCTCTTCACGGAGGTCAGGATTCCTGGGTGCCAGAGGCAGGAGAATGGGGTGGTGGGTACAAAGGAAGGAAGATAAGAGAAATTAGTTACTTTAGCCACTCGCCTTTAAACACAGGGCAAGCGGTTCTTTTAGCTACCCTTTACCCTGTATGGTGGCCCAGAGAGAAAGGGTGACTTATCCAAGGCTACACAGCTTACTTGTGACAGCTAAGGAATGACACAAAGGAACCTAACTCCAGACTCCATGTGTGTTTGCCTGCTTGCTCCTGAGGAGGCAATGCTCTGTACTTTGCTCTGAAAATCTTTTCGATGGTCCTTTAATGGGAACATGCCCCAGTCACTATCATTTTACTTTTCTCCTTTGCTCTTCTCAGTTCTGAGGCTGTTTCACCCTGGCTACAGGTCTTCTGCTCCCCATGGACCTACTATGGCCTAGAGATTAAACACCAGACAGCAGTGCTTAAAGAAAAACAACAGGGTCTGATTCCAACTAAGGGTTACCTATAGAACTACAGTTTAGAGTGCTAACTCTGCAGCCACACTTCCCGAGTTCAAATCCCACCCTCTGACCTGTCTGCTCTGTAACTGTGGGCAAGTGCCTCAACTTCTCTAAACCTGTGTCAATTTCTCTATAAAATGGGACCTGCCTTTCACGGGTCAGAGGCACCACAGAGGGGGGCTCGTGTATAGGAATGCTGAATAAGTAAATGCCTTGTTGCTTTCCTTGCTTCATCATAGCCCTTGCCCCCATCTTGCCAACAGCAAGGGCTACCATTTACCTACCTTCACTATTGCAACTACTCAAAACCATTTTTACATGGAACAGCATTCCTGACTCTTGTCACCCACTAGGATCAAGTACAATCAAAGTGTTATAAAGAGTCCTTCTTGGGTCGTTTGATGAGAGGAAAAGTGATGCCTAGAAGGTTAATGGCTTAGCAAGTCAGTGGCAGGGTGAAGGTGAGAACCCAAGGTTTCTATTTTGAAATAGGTCAACCCCCCCACCCCCCAGGTAACCCTGGGAAGGTGAAGAAGCTCTAGGCAGCCAGGTGAGTGCTGTCCTCTTGGTGGCAGTGTTCAGGAGACAGATCCTCTCTGAGGGATGGGCCAGGGGGACCTAAATAATACTGTGCACAACCATTCATTCTTCTTGGTTTAGGACAGCCACTGATAGCCTACCATGACTAACAGTAGTGACTGGCTTACCTGTTATGGAACTCTTACAGTATGCTAGGCACTATGGGAATTACCATTCATGTATGATCTCCATGAGACAGAGACTAGGGGAAGTCAGCATGGTGATGAACACAGGTGGCTCTGGAGTCTAACACATTAGGTTTGCCTCTAACCAGTTCATCCTGTTCCCAGCACCATAGCTTTGGGCAAGCCAGTTATGGTCTCTGAGCATCTGTTTCCTCACTTGTAAAATGAATGAATGAACAGACAGTATGAAGCCTGCACCTGGCACAGCATAAGCATCCCCACGAATAAGAGCAATGGATACTACTACTAGGATTGCCGGTACCCGTTAGCTGGTAAGAAAACACAGGATGCCAGGGTCAAATAACTTCTTATGGTCATAGAGCTGATGATGGGAGGACTTGAAGCTGGGTGTATCGTTCCTGCCTGGAATCTCAGCTCTTAGGAAGGTCAGGAAGGAAGATACTGAGATCAAGGGCAGCCTGGGACATATGGCAAAACATATCTCCGAAAAAGGGTAGAGAGAGAACAAAAAGAGGAGAGCTTGAGATTTGAATTCAGGGTTGAAGGACTACAGGGTTCTTCTGTGGGGTACCAAGATGCATCTATCCATTAAGCCAGTGTTTTTCAAGCACCTTAGGAAACAAGACCTCTCTCCAGAATTAGTGGGGTGACTTCACTGAGAGTCTGGGGTGGCTCCTAAAGCATGTGAAAAGAGGAGGAAAAAGAGAGACTTCTGGCTCTCCAAGACAACACAAAGTGGATCTTTTTTTTTTTTTTTTTTTTTTTTTTTTTTTTTTTTGATTTTTCGAGACAGGGTTTCTCTGTGTAGCTTTGGAGCCTATCCTGGCACTCGCTCTGGAGACCAGGCTGGCCTCGCACTCACAGAGATCCGCCTGCCTCTGCCTACCGAGTGCTGGGATTAAAGGCGTGCGCCACCAACGCCTGGCTTACAAAGTGGATCTTTACAGAAGAGAAAATACGGGTACACCACGGTGCTTGGGGATGATGGCATTAAACAAAGAAATGAAGAAGAGGGAATGAAACAGCACGGGGAACAGAAGAGCTGATGTCGGGGAACAGCGGGGGTGACGCTGGAGACAGCAGGGTGAGGCAGGTAAGGTATGGAGGCTGGAGAAGAAAGGCAACAGAGAACCTGGGGTCCTGGCTGAAAAGAACCTCTGGGGAAAACATGGTTGAGTGTGACACCCCAGGACAGCACAGAGGATGCAACGTGAAAGGGTGCCTGCTTCGGCTCTTCACTTTACAAGTGACGAAACTGAGTCCCCCTAGTGGAAGAAACCGAGCCATTGATCAGCAGAATGGCTACAGAGCTACAGCACAGAGCTCCTAGCACCATGGCTTCTACATCGGGCTACAAGGGGACTTCATACGGACCAGTGTGTAAATAAACAGTAATTCTTGGGCAGTAGAAGTTCCAGGTCCCCGCTCAGCCAATCCAGATCAGACTGTGACAAGTCTTCTCAGGCAGCTTCCCCAGGGGATGTCATCAACTCTGCACTAACATGACAAGTAACCTACTCTCCACCATGTTAAGATGCGGGAAGAGGAATCAGATGACTGAAGACACCGGGGTGCCAACAATCTGCATGGAAGTCTGAGTGGCGGTGACAAGATGGCTTTACCATGACTAACTTCCTCTCCTCTCCTTCTAGGTCAGAGTATACTATGGAAATAGAATGTGAATCTTGTATGGGATTTACTTTCCTAGTAAATAATTTTCTAGACATCACTATTAAAATTCTTAGGTATTTCAGCTGGGCAGTGGTAGTGCACACCTTTAATTCCAGCACTCAGGAGGCAGGGGCAGGCCAGCTTGGTCTACAGAGCTAGTTCCAGGACAGCCAGAGCTAGAGAGAAACCCTGTCTCAAAAAAACAAACCAAAACAAAACAGATATTTCTACTTTTCTAAATTTATCTAGATAAATAGGAAATTTTAATATTCAAATTTTAAATTCTTAATGTGTGTATGCGTGTGTGCATGTATGTGCATATCTGTGTGTAAGGTACACATGAATGCATGTGCATGTTTAAACCAGAGGTCAACTTCCAGTGCTGTGACTTATCTGTCTACATTGGTTTTTGTTTGTTTGTTTGTGTGAGGCAGTGTCTCTTCCCAACCTGGAGCTCACCAAGGCCAAACCAGCTGGGGCTGTCCAGCAGGCCCCAGGCACCTGCCTGTCTCTGCCTCCCTGGCACTATATTGCCAGCTTTCTAAAGGTGAGTTCTGGGGCTTAAACTCAAGTCCTATAATTGCCTGGCAAATACTTTGCAAACTACACTATTTCCCCAACACTTACATTCTAAATTTTAACTTAATAAAAAGCAAAAGTATGTGATGGTTTGAATCGTAATGGCCTCCATAGCCCCCCCCCCATATATTCGAATGTTTAGTCACTGGGGAGTGGAACTATTTGAAAATATTAAAAGGATTAGGAGGTGTGGATTTGTTGGAGTAGGTGTGGCCTTGCTGGTGTCACTGTGGGTGGGCTTTGAGGTTTCAAAAGCCCATACTGGGCCCAGTCTCTCTTCCTTCCCCCCCACCATCTTTGGAACAGGATGTAGCTCTCAACTACTTCTCCAGCACCATGCCTACTGCCATGCTTCCCATCATGATGATAATGGACTGAACCTCTGAAACTGTAAGCCAGCCCCAATTAAATGCTTTCTTTTATAAGAGTTGCCATGGTCAACTTCACAGCAATAGAACAGTGACCAAGATACATGTGAAACTCATTTTTAATAATATGTTTGGGAACCTGGGGGTGTAGTACAATACTTGCTAGTATGTGCCAAGTCCTAGAGTTTGATCTCCATTGCCTTAAAAAAACAAAAGGGCCTGGGAATACAGTTAAGTTAGTAGAATGCTTGCCTAGTGTGCAAATACCTTGGTTTCTGGCACGCATAACACCAGGAGTGGTGGTGCCTGTAATTTCAACACTAGAGGTGTATAGGCAGAAGAATTAGGAGCTCAAGGTCATCCTTGGTTACAAAGTAAATTCAAGGGCAAACTAGGTTATATGAGACCCTGCCTCCAACAAAAACAAATGAAGCAAAACCTCTATCCACCATATTACTTAATTCAACATATCCTTTTTCATTTCGTAAGTATTAAAATTAGCTGACTCTTTTTTTCATGCTAAATCTTCAAAATCATACACACATTTACCCTTAAAGCACATCTCATCTTGGCTGAGCCATTTCAAGTGCTCAATAGCCACATTTAGCAGTGGTTGCCATATTGGACCACACAGGAACAACACTGCCACCACTACAGAAGTTCTTTCAGATGAGACTGGGCTAGACCCTAGTCAGCATCCTTTCAAATGTCAGGAAAATGTTTCAACACTTCTCCATCTCAGAAGAAAGCACTCAAAGGAAGAGGATTCTTGTACTGACTCATGAAAGGGCAAAGAGGTGACCAGCTGCTATTTGTGGAGCCTTTGAGGTGGGCGTTTTCCCATGGCACTGTAATGTCTCAGCTGTACACAGGCCTAAGAGCAATAAGAGCTCAACTTTTCCTGGGGGCGGAGTGGTGAGGATGGATCCTGGTGCCTCACTCAAGCTACACAGAGGCTCTATAGTTAGGTTAAACCCCCAGCCCTAAAAAGTTTTATCTTCATGTAGCCCACCCAGATGGAAACATTCACTACAAAGTGTCATTATAGTTCTTCACTGGCACATTCTAGAGGTAGCAGTATTCTACTTTTATTCCCAAAAGAATTAAAATTTTGCTTGCCATTCACTTCCAGTAGATGGAGTCGCACAGTAGGTACTTCCCATGTCTGTGAGATTTTTGTCTTCTGTGTCTGATAAAATTCAGCAAACTTCCAAAGAGGCAGAAGAACCCTCCCCAGGACAGGCTGTGAGAAGCCCAGTATGTCCCAGCACTGTATTATTTAACACCTTATTGGCCTTCAATGAAATAGAAAGATGGGGTCCCCAGGAGTCTGGGCCTAGAGTGCCTGAGAAGTCCTGGGTTTGTAAGTCAAACAAAACAGATGGGACAAAGGTCCTAGGCATTACATTCCCTTAGTAACATCTCATGACCCTGATGGAGACAGAGACTCAGGGATGGGAATACAGCACCCAGACTGGCTAGAGTCTCATTTACCACAGCCCCCCTGTGGATTCTCAGCACCCCCTCCTTGCCACTTGTGGACTTACTTTTTTGGACTCAGGGCATGGAACTCTAAAGAAACCAAGACACCATCTTCCCTCCCTCATTCCTTTGGTCTAAAGCAGGCCACTGTCTCTCTCTTTAGCGCCACAAGTCAGGCAGCTGAGGGTCCCACCTGCACTATCAATCAAGCCACCTGGGCTCTTAATGGAAACTACTCTCCAAGAATCGTTCCCCTGCCCCCTCCCAGAGGAACACAGGGTTTCTCTGTGCATCCCTGGCTGTCCTGTAGACCAGGCTGGCCTTGAACTCAGAGGCCTGTCTGCCTCTGCCTTCCAAGTATGAGGTTAAAGGTGTGTACCACCACCACCTGGCTTCTAGGACTCTTTTTACTGCTCCCTCCTCCCTCCCACTCTGCTGAGCCCCAGAACCGTACTTGTGGCTTCTTGTCCCTCTCCTCCGGGGATGGGTCTGTTTCTCTGTAGACAACGGCTTTGGTTACCAGCATGTCTGGATGCTGTAGTTTGGCTTCCTTGATGGCCAAAGCCAGGGCCTGGTGGGCAGAACAGCAAGCATAGTGAGGCACCATGGAACAGTGACTAGGAGAGAAACTGAACACAAGCCCCTACTGCACAGCTGGGGAAACTGAAGTCCAGGAGGGGCCAAGTCAAACAGAAGATAAGACTAGAGTTTGAATCTTCCAGTCCTCATTCAGTGCCCCTTCTTGGGCGTCAGCAGGGGGTGGATGCCTTCTCTGCCCGTCACCATTACGGGGGGAGGGGGGGGACTGGATACTGGGGTGTGCCCTGGAAACGCTGTCCCTTGTCCCATACCTGGTCTTGATCGACATCTTCATCCCCAGTAATGATGATTCGCTTCTCAATCCTTGTCTCAGAGAACCCTCCCTTCACAGTCTGTGGGGAGAAAAGGAGAGGGCAGGGGAGAGAAAGGCGGGGTCCCTCTTAGGTCTGCTGTGACAGACCTACACACCTCAGCCTCAGTCGCCTGACCAAGCTGAGAGCCAGGAGTTCACCTCTTTCCTGTCCTCCTCAGCATTCTCTTTCTAGGCTGAGGACTTCAGACAGTAGCTCCTGCCAGGTTGTCACCACTCCCTAGCTACCAAACTGTCTCATTTATGTCTCCTACACCCAGCTCAGATGCTGCTCCCTGGTTGGCAGAGTCCCAAGGCACCCGGTCCAGGCCCTCCCCAAACACTGAGTCTGCATCTCTCACGCTTTGGGGCCTCTGCATGAGGCTGACCTATGTGCACATGGCCTTGCTCACCTCTCCAGGCTTTAAGCCCTGGGGAGTGGGGCTCGAATTTTATCACCTCAGTATCCCCTCCTCACCCAGCACCTTTCCCAATCTCACCTGACGGTGCTGAATGCAGATCTGCTGAATGAACACATGAATGAAATGTGAATGGTGACAAGGTTCTACCTTAAATGACTTGGAACAATCTTACAAAGATACTTTGTTACCTCTACTGTTTTCTCAAGGAGTCGGGCTTCCAAGTAGAGGATGGGGCAGAGCCTAACTGTTAGGCATGTCCAAGGAGGATGTGACGAGGAAAGACTAGCTGGAGGTAGGCAAGGGTGAGCAGAGGGGGCCCCTGGGTGGTGAGGTACAGAGGAGTTTCCTGAGCCATACACTGTGGGGTGTGCCATGTGAGGCGGTCCCATAAAACCAGCAGAGAAGCCCATGCTGCTCTCTCGGGTTTTTTGAGAGGTTGCTTCCTGGGAAATATGACAAGGTGCCAAAGCTACAAGGTTGCAGGCAGGGCCTTGTGTAGTGTGGACAAAGGGAAAGTGTTACCAACCAGACTTTCACTTCATTGGGTCAGCTGGACCTTCAACTCAATCCCCCAGGCTCAGCCTGGCTCCTCAGGCCTCCAGCCACAGCTGGGCCTCTCCTGTTTTCCCTGGCCACTCATCTGTGGACTTGCTACATCCTCCTTCTAAGCCTTTCTTACTTCCTTGGCTGTCATAGCCAGTACCCTCTAGGAATGCCTCCCTCCTCTGTCCCCAACCACCCCCCTAGCCCTCACCCCCAGGCCTTAGTTCTCATGGGGTACTGACAACTCTGCTTCCTCTACCTCCCTGCCCCTCTACCTCCTTTCTTTCCTTGCTTTGCTGGGGATCAAACCCAGCACACTGTGCACATCAGACAGACCCGGCTGCTGAGCCTCATCCCAGCTCCAGTGAGCCTATTTTCTCTGAGTCACTACCTAAGTTAACATTTTCTTGTGACTAAGATCCTCCACAGTCAAATTAGCCCCAGGGCCTGGTGCAGCTCTCATCTGCCCCTATCAGTACTTCCGCGCCTGTGCATCCTGACTTCCCAGTCCCCTGTCTGCACACCGCTTCCTGGTTTCCTGCAAACACACCTCACCTAAGTCTCCTCCAGCAGCCTCATCCTGGTTTCCTGCAAACACACCTCACCTAAGTCTCCTCCAGCAGCGGGAGTCCAGCTCACTAACATTTGCTTAACAAAGAAGTAAACATACAGTGTCTCTGCTCCTCTATCCTCAGGCACTCTGTAGTGAGGCCCAGGACCCGACTCAAACCCTAGTCTCTCAGGTTTTATGTTTGGGTGGGTGGGAGGGCAGGGAGGACTGTGCAATGACTGATAAGGATTAAACCTTTGCTAGGCAAAGACTATACCATTGAGAAATATCTCCAGCCCTCTTTACTTTTTATTTTGAAGCAGGGCCCCACTAAGTTGCCAGGCTGGCCTGAACTTTTCAGTCCCATGTCAGCTTTCTAAGTAGCTGGGGCTAGGGGCTTGTACTACCAGGCCTGGCAAACAGTAACTTTTTCCAAATGGCACTTCCTGACTTTGGGGAGCTTCCTGCACATCACCCTTCTGAATTTTCCTGGCTCTCAAGGCCTGCAAGATGCAAACAAAATTGTTCACAATTACTTTGGAGGAGGACATCTGACCCCACAGACTAGCTGCCAATGCTGTGTGCTAGACCTACTCCCAAACAACAGTAGCACAGGGCAACACACTGCACACTGGCAAAGGTCCCCTCTTAGGGAATGAGGAGCCAGGGGCCAGCATGGCAATGACCTTCCCACCTATAGCCCGCTGGGGCCCGGGAACCTGCTGCTACTCACTTTGGTGACATGGGTGGTGGTGGATGTTGAGAGGGTTTCCGCAGTGGCGCCGTAGGTGCTGGTGAGGACATCTTTCCCGATGATCTGCAGAATATAACCACCCCCACCCCAGGGGTCAGGTCAGGGCACTGGGCTCTGAAGGGGTGGATGGGGCTAGGGAAACTTTTCCAGGGATAAGCAGGGCCCCTGAAGGTGAAGCATGGAAGCCAAGGTGCTTTGAACCATTCATTCTGATACAAGAAAACCAAAATCTTTCCAACTCTAGACCTAGAATATTCCCAAACCCAGAGATCTATAACTCTTAGAACTTGAAATCCCTAAGTCCCAGAGTCCTAATGACAACCTAGAATGGAAGACTACTAGAAGAATGACCAGATGGAAATCAGGTCACAGACCGAGCCCTCCAGGCCCTCATCCTGTTACAAGCAGGAACATGCTTTCTCTGGACTAGACACTGAGAACAACAAACAGAATGAAAGCACCGGAAAGACCTCAGTGACGACTCAGTGTCACTGGTGGGACAGCCACCAACAGAGCCCGGCCTAGAACCCAAGCCTCTGGACTCCAAGTTCCTTGCTCCTTCTGCTCTACAAGCTAATGCACCAGTTGTGTGTGTGTGTGTGTGTGTGTGTGTGTGTGTGTGTGTGTGTGTACTTACATAAGTGCGGAAGTGTGCTCCAGTGTCCTGTTTACCCCCAGCCCCAATACCAATGCTTTGATTACATGTGTGTGGGGGGGTACTGATGGGCACCTTAGGAGCCTGTGGGCATCTGAAATAGTCCTGAGCACCTCATCGCTCTTGCTGTGGCTGTGTGCCCGCATGCTCAGTTCTGAGTCCCCTAACCTGAGCTGGTCCTGCCTACTTACCGGTGAAAGAGAACGGATTTCCGTGGCCACCGTCTGTGGGCCTGGGATCATGGCAGCTGCCCCCTTCCCGGACTTGAGACTGTTCTCCTGGGGAGACAATAGTGCTCAGATGGCCAGGTCTCAGGTCAGTAGGCCTCCAGGATAGCCAGGGCATGTGACCATGTGGTTATCATCACCACGGTGTTGAGAAGCAACACAGAAGCAGAGAGCTGAGGCATTCATTCAGCCCTCACTTGCTCAATCCCACACACACTTGCACGCTTGCTCACATTCTCACTCAACAAACATCTACTGAATCCCCGCTACTGGGGATGCCAAGGTGAACAAGCTATGGCATTGCTCTCTGGAAGCATTAAAAGGAGTTGGGTCGTCCAGGGTCTTGTCGTGGACCTGCTGTGCACCTTGAGGCAGAGCCACTTCTTCCCTACTGTCTGTGAAAAAGGGAGCCCTTATGAGGAGAATAGGGAAAGGGCTTTGTAAACCAAAAGCTGTTGGTGAATGCGGGAGTGCAGGTGAATGAATCATGTATGTTCTTCCAGTCCCTGCTAGACTCTAGGTATCCAGCTAGGTATGTGCATGCATGAGACCTCATTTAACCTTCGAGAGCACTGAAGGCAATCCTTGGCAGCAGTCCTATTCTGCAGAGGACACACAGAAGGGAAAACTATAGTATGTGGCTTGTTCAAGTCCTGCAGCAAGACAGTGGTGGAACCAGGAGTTAACTCCACGCTCGGCAGCCTCCAAGGCTGCTAGGCGGTTATAGTCTGAACCACCACTCTGTCCTTGGAACTGTCACTCTTGAGCCAGCTCCCCTGGTCTTATTCTGATTCTGTCACTTGACTTGTTGTTCTGCAGTTGGCCAAGGGGACACTAAGGCTCTCCCTGCTGTCTCACTTTTGCATAGTCTCCAGCTCAGCTTTGCTATGCACTGTCTCAACTAAATGGACCCCAGTCTTGGGTCTGTGCATGGCAAGGACCTGGACCACTCTCTTCCTGCCGGAGCATGGGGGGGAGGACGGAGTCTGTGCTACACCTGCTCCTGCCCTGAGTGTTGGTGACCAGGTCACTTGGCACACCATCCTGAGGCATATTCTCTACAACATCTTGGATCCCAGACTATAAAGGCCATTTCTAGGAGTGTTTTCTCTCTCTGGTTTAGGGCCGTGGCTGTATCCATAGCTAGTCCCATCTACCATCAAAGAAGCAGTTTCCCTACCTGGGCAAGGCAACTCTCCTATCTCTACCCTCAGATACCTAGGGAATTGTATTGCCTCATTGATGCCACAGTCTCCTATCCTACCTGTAGCTCAGATCTTTCTTGAACCTTAAATCTTCAAAATCAATTGTCTCCTGAGCCTTTCCCTGGAAACACCCCATAGGTGCCTCACACTGGCCAGATATGCAGTAGACCTGGCTGCTTGAACCTAACTCACAAGCATCACACTCCCCTCACACTACCCTTAGGGGCATCACCTGGAGGGCTTGTGAACACAGACTGCAAGGCTTCCTCAGGTTTTTGAATTAGGAGCTTAGGAGCAGGGTGGGGGAATGTGCCTTTAATGCAGACACCTAGGACCATACTGCAAGAACCACTGGCCAGTAAACACTGTCCCCAGTCCATCTGTCTTGTCACCTGAACGTCCTACCAGTAGCCACACACTGCTCTTTCCTGCCCCAGGATCTCCAATCCCTAACTCTCTGCTGCATCTGCCTTCTTGAACCCTGGCAGTGCCCCAGCTAGATACCAGCCAGCCCTCAGACAGGTTCCCACCTTCTCTTTTGGCCTCACGTGGGCCCCAGGACTAGAGATGCTGTGTCCTCCAGGGCTGGATTACAGTGCCTGGCACAGTACTTCACATCGTGGGTGTTCAATAAATATTTATTAATGGAAAGGAAGAAGCAGGAAAGAGGAAGGCAAAGAAGGAGGAAGGAATCTTTGTTCCAGGCCACACTCCACATAAGAGGATAACCTAACTGACAAATGCAGCTATTGACATGCTTTGACTCTAAAAAGCACCAGCCCAATGTTGCCTCCAGGACAAAGTTAAAGCATCCTACATGGCACTGGAAACAATTCAAGCTCTGGCCCAGCCCTTCTGCAGCCCCCCGCCCCGCCCTGCTTCCTGTACACATCTAACAGCCAGCTGTGCTTCCTGCCCTTACACCTGCTCTCCACAGCTGGAAGCCTTCTCCTGTGACCACACCTCACTCAACAGCCCAACTGTCCCTGACTAGGTGACACCTTCCCCAGATCCTCCTAGCAGAGGTGTCCCTCATACTTTCATCCCAGTGGTCCCTAGGGTAACCCTGTTGCACTGTTCCATGAGGGCAGGAGAGAGGCAGCAGCAGCAGCAGGGGACAACTGGAGCCACTAAGTCCAGGCTGTGCTTGGGGGCTTTGCACAGGGGCCTTGCTCATGCTCACAGGAACCCTTTAAGGCTTGTGCTGTATTGCCCCCACCCCACTTTACAGAAGTGGAAGTGAAGGCTTAGAGAGGGTTGGGTGACTTGCCATCACTGTGTGCCCAAGACCTACATGCAGGACAGGCACTGTGATGACAACTGAATAAATGAATCCCGGTAGGCAGTGGAGCTTCTGCAGGGTCCCTGGGCTAGGCAGACTGTAGACACTCATCAATGTTTTCCCAACAAATGGATGGATGAATGAATGAATGAGGAAATGAATGAAATAACTGTCTACTCACCATAAAGACAAATTTAAATTTAGCCTTACAAATATCTCAGTGCCTCAGAGCAAGAAAGAACTGACTGATGAGGAAAACGTGCGCCCTCTGGTGACGAGTTCAGGTTTACTGATCCTAGGGTCTGTTTACTTAAAACCCACCTGCAGAGGACCCTGACTTAGTGAAATTATCTTCTCCGGTAGAGGTCAGAGGTCAGAGGTCAGAGGTCAGAGGTCAGACAATGGAAGTCATTCAAAAATAACTCTCACTAGCTCAAGAAATATCTGGATCCGGCATCACTACATTCGGTGGCCCCAGACCCATAAAGCCGATGTTCACACAGGTCAGGACAGGGGCAGAGACTGACAATGAAACTGAGACTTCCTGTGTCAGAATGCCTGAGGCTAAACTGGTATTTATTGGTCATGTGACCTTGGGTTCACCGCTTTATCCCCTGAACTTGTTTTCTCATTTATAAAGGATGTCAAAGAAAGAACAGTGATAACCATAGTTCATAATCCAAAGGTCAAATTTCTCATGAGACTGCCTGACACTACAACCTGTGAGCAGAATGCTGTCTGTTCTATTTTGTTGTTAAGGCCTCTAGAGTAGTGGTTCTCAACCCATGAGTCATGACCCCCCAACAAGGGTCACATAATAGATATTCTGCATGTCAGATATTTACATTACGATTCATAACAGTAGAAACTTTACAGTTATGAAGTAGCAATGAAATAATTTTATGGTTGGGGTCACCACAACATGAGGACCCATATTAAAAGGTCTCAGTGTCAGGAAGGTTGAGAACCACTGATCTAGAGTCTCAGAAGCAGCTGTGAGCCACACAGAATGGGGATGACTCCTATTTTACAGACAAGGACATTTGAGGCCAAAGACTTTTCTTTACTGGTCACATAGCAAATAAATAGCAAAATCTGCAAGGACCCTTAGACATGTCCAAAACACCCGAGTTTCCAACCCAGGTTCACTGCTACCATCTACTGGTCACAGTGAGAAAATAAGATACAAGAAACTGCGGCTGACTGGAGCAGGTTTGCTGGAAGATAGAGGTGGGGTGGGGGCCTTCAGGCTAATCATCCACCTGCCCGTAAGAGTCACCTGGTATTGCAAGATTCCTGCATGCTAAGAATCAGACCATTCCACCCTCCCTCTACTCCTGCATGGCTGGGATGGCCCAGATAACTGAGACTCCGGGACCCCATTCCCCACATTATCCAATTTGGCAAACCAAAGACTGACAATATGTACAAGAGCAGCCAAGGTACCAGAAAACAGGAATCTGGTCATCTGTCTCACCACTGTGAGGGCAGCTGAGGACTTTCTGAAACAGCTGCTAAGTTCTGGCTGTTGGGGGGTGGGGTACGAGGGGTGGGTCAGAGAGAGGAGCCTTCTGGTCCCACTTACCATGGTGGTGGAGATGGTCTCTGTGGTGATGCAGGGGGGAGTCGTCATGAAGTCTTTTCCCACAGGGGCACCCCCGTCAACCTGTAAGGCAGAGGAGGCAGCGTTAGAGATGACAGGACCACACCTGACACCTGGCTTGTAGCATTCCCAGTTACAAAGTGGCAGGCTTCCTGAGTGGGCATTCACTGGGGTGGTGCAGAGCATTGCAGAGGGGCCTCAAGGTTTTTCAAAGGCTTCATTTCAACCATCCTATTGGGCAGCTGATGGTAATCCACAGAAGTTACCCTATAATGTCACACTGGTTAGACACAAGCTAGAGTCATTTGGGGAAAGGGATTCTCGGTTGGGAAGATGCCTCCACTAGACTGGCCTGTAGACAAGTCTGCCAGGCATTCTTGACTAATGATGGGTGTGAGAGGCCCCAGATCACTGGAGGCAGTACCGTCCTCGGGTAGATGGCCCCAGATGGTAGGAGAAAGCAGGCTGAAGCGGGGCGGTGGTGGCACACACCTTTAATCCCAGCCCTCAGGAGACAGAGGCAGGCGGATCTCTGAGAGTTCAGCCTGATTCTACAGAGCGAGTTCCAGAACAGCCAGGGTTACACAGAGAAACCCTGTTTTGAAAAACCAAAACAAAAGAAGCAGGCTGAGCAAGGCATGAGGAGCAACCAGTAAGTGGCACATCTCTGTGGCCTCTGCTTCAGTTCCTGTCTCCAGGTTCCCGGCTGGAGTTCCTGCCTTAACTGCCCTCAGTGACCTGAGAGCTGTAAACTGGAATAAACCCTTTCCTCCCCAAGTTCCTTTTGGTCGTGTTTTACCACAGCAACAGAAATTGGTACTTTTAAAGGTTCACCAAGAAATATGAACAAGGAAACTTTACTACAGCATTAAATACTGGGAAAGATACCCCCCCCCAGGGTCCAGTGACGGGAGATAAACACAGATTAGGATATGCTTCCTAAGAGGACTCAGAATAGTGGACACAGGGCTGGGTGTGTAGCACAGTTGGTAGAGTGCTTGCTTAGCATGCATGTAGCTTGGGCTTGAGTCCAGCCTCCATTTAAAAAAAAAAACAACCCAAAACTAGGTATGGTGGTGCGACCTGTAATCCCAGCACAGGGGAAGTAGAAGCAGGGGGATCAGAAGTTCAAGGTCATCCTCAGCTGCACAGTAAAGTTTGAGGCCAGCCTGGGATACCTGGCAGGGACCCTGTCTCATGGGGAGAGAGAGACACAGAGACAGAGACAGACAGAGGGAGTGACAGACAGAGACAGAGACAGAAAGAGGTGCAAATGAGTAAGTTCTAAACTACTTGATCGCAAAAAGGGTGTGGGGTAAGAGTCAATGGTCACTTTTATCTAATAATTTTAAGTATAAACAGATGTAAGCATCTGTGTTGGCATATGCCTTTTTCTCCCCCAGGACACAGCCCAAGAATAGTGTCATCCAGTCTTTTGACATTTTGATGTTTTGAGGACAAGAGCTGCCAGGTTATGGGATTTGGGGTAATTTTTGGTTTCTTTTTACTTTAAGCTTTAAAAAGTTACTAAAACACAGCAAGTCAGAGAAAAGACAAGCAGCTTGTCCAAGGTGGTCCAGTTCATGATGCTTTAGTGGCACTGGACACCTGCACAGCCGTTAGCATGCTGTAACAGTAGGAGAAAAAAAATTCTGGAAATTACAGTTGCTTGTGTTACTTTGTGTCATATTTCAGGTTGTTTGTGCTGGGGGTGGAACCCAGGCTAAGGCTGTGCCACTGACCAATCAACCTGCTCAGCCCTTATTTCAGCTAAGACAAAAATTGGCCACCAGGAGAAGGGGCTGAGCATTGTAGCCTTTCTAGGTGAGAAAAACCAGGGGGCAATCTCTCAGACCATAAACTCAGATCTATAAATCTTCAAATCTGAAGACCCACAGAGGATACATGGGAAGTATGTATGAAGCTGTGTGCTGTGTCCAGATAGGCCAGCTTTCCCAGGGTGCAAGTGAGCTCTGGCTAACAAATACAGACACTTTAGTCATTTGACCTTGGTTTCTTCATCTTGCCAATCTAATGTGGAACCTCCATGCATAAGAAATGACCCAGGAGAGCTGTTCTGACCAAATAGTGACTGAGATTTCTCCTTCTCTCTCCACCTGTCGAGCCACCTGAAAGCCATGGTCCTAACCCATTAGCCATGAGTGCTGAACACTCTCGGGAGGAAGGATACTGGGTCATCCCCATTTACAGATGGGGGCACTGGTTACCTGGGTGCTGTCTGCAGTGGAGACTCTGCTCTGCAGCATGGCCTCTGGCTCAATCTTCTTTCTGATTGCCAGACTGCTGACGGTCATAGTCTCTGCTTTCACGGACTATGGGGACATGAAGGGGACACTTGAAAACTCAAGCCCAGACACACACTCCTGTTCACAGGCAACTGGTGCAAGAGCAGCCAAAGTCACCCCCAGCATGAGGAAAGCCTGACCCCATGCCCCGGGGTCTTTTTGAGGCTGTACTAAAAGGATGGCTAAATTATATGCTCAGAGTTTCCTTACACACATAGTGCCTCCACCTTTTGGCCACTTCATGCAAACTGCTGTTCAAAGCAAGAATTACAAGCATGGCAATAATTACAAGCATGGCCAGGCGGCAGAAGGAAACAGGCGAGGAGGCTAGCTGGCCGAGAGATGGAAATGATGTGGAATTATTCCTCTCAGGCTTTTATCATAGCCTCTGTTTTACTTATTTATTATATAAGGAAATGTAATGTCGTGGTTTTTAAATTAAAGTCAGAGAAAACACATCAGTTGGCTGCATGTGGCCCAGGGCCACCAGCTTACAAACCGTACTCTAGGCATCTCAAGCCACATGGTCATTTTTTGTCTTCTCTTAGGCCTAGTTCATGGCTTTACCCACTGTAGGTTTGATGAATGGAATCTAGCTTGTCATGTAGTTGGAAGAAAGAGGCAGAAAGGAAGGATTCTTCCAGAATCCTATGATTTAGCCACTCATTTAATTAATCATCCATTAGTGTTGAGTGTGAAACTGCCTTACAATAGTTGCCACCTGGCGGGAGGGCAGAGCCACCAGCCATTGTCCTGACTGTGCTGGGGAAGGTTAGAGCCAAAGTATGGCAGGACAGAGCAGGATGTGGTGGGGACAGTACTGCCACCCAGGTGGCCAGAAAAGCATAGAGAAGGGATGCATGAGCTTTGTCCTGGGTCACTGTGAGGCACAGAAAGGGTTGACAAGTCTTCCACCTAGAGGTACAGCGTGGAGTAAGAGCCCTGGATGGATGAGCTGGTAGTCACTGCCTGGGAGACAGGAGGGAGGGAGGGAGGGAAGAAGGGAGGGAGGGGAGGTGAAGAGCGGGAGGGAGAGAGGGTGGGAGGATTCAGCTAGAGGTAAAGGGAAAGGGTGAGTTTCTGAAAGTCAAGGGGGCCACAAAGCAGAGAAGCCCAGATGCTGGCCCTGCCTCCTCCCCAAAGGCTGTGTCTTCTCTTTTCTTAGAGTGTCCATTGCCACCCCACGGTCTCAGGGCCCGATGGGTTTAAATAACGGCCTCCTCTTCGGGCCCCAGTAAAAAGCCCTGGCCTGAATCAAGAGAAACTACTCAGGTTTCAGACCAGCTGTAGGAGCCTCGGGAGTCCATAGATACATGCTCTCGGTGTGTGCCATGCAACACAGGCAAGGGACCAAGGAATCCTTAGTAAGACTGGCATCACTTGACCTCAGCAAGTGATGGGGGTCATAGGGTTAAAACACCATGGAGCATGTGTTAGGGGTGAACCGACACAGCAAACATGCGGTTGCAGACCATGCTGTTCTACGGAGGGGCAGTCATGCAACACCAGACAGAGCTTCAGGCTGCAGCTGATGGCTGGTCTTCTCACACAGGGCCCAGGGCCCTCTGAACATGCAGTGGTCTGTTGGACTGGATCTCCATGAAGCTCCACTGTACCTCAAACTGGGGCATTTCTGGGGTGGAGCAGGCCCCTCGATCCGGGCTGTCCTCGATGCCCCCAGACTCATCCTCTTGGCTGGAGGGCCCCTTGAGATCCCGAGAGAACACCAGGCCTTCTGTCTCAGAGTCGCTCTTATCACGGTCGAGCTCAGGGAGGCTTCGGGAGAAGTCTTCGAAGGCGCTGCCGTGGTAGTCGCCGATAACCGTGAAGTCCACCTCGGCCTCCAGGCTGGATGTGGAGCTGACTGTTATGCTTGAGCACTTGCGCTCGATGGCCAGGTGGTTGTCCTTCAAGAATACCGCGTCCCTCTCCTGGTCCTGGTCCTCATCTCCTGTGTCACTCTCTGGGGCACGAGGACGTGGTGGTTTGACTTTCTCCTCCGAGCCCTCCCTCAGCCCTGCTCTCTATGGCCAGATAAAACCAGGGAAATGGGGACATGGGGTAGGGAGAGAGAAAGAGGTCAAAAGAGTGAATGTCAGAAGAAATCTCTAGGTTTGGAACATTTGGAAATGAAAGGTCAGGAAATGAAAAAACACGCCCCAGAAAGGTTTCCTCAGAATCTAGCACAAAAGAAAACAAAACGAAAACTTCTCAGAGCCGAGATGCTCCTTCGAGGGTCTCACATGGACGGCAAAGCAAGCTGACATCCTTCCAGCTAGCTCTGGACAGGAGGCCCCTCCAAGGCTAGGATCCAAAGCCTATCAGAAGCGGCATTGTGCAAGAGGCAGGGATGGAGACCTGGACCACAGGCCCATCCGTGCAGGAGGCATTGAGAGGTAAACTGAGGAAGGAGGTCAGGGATTCGAGGGAACCCAGGAGAGGAGGCAGAGAGGCTGGAGCCGGGAGCTTGAGGAACACAGAAGAAGCCAGCAGCCTGTCAATTGCACTGAGTCTCTGCAGGGGGCACGGGGGGGTCAGCATCAACTAGGGGAAGGAGAAATACTGACCCAGGCCCTCCAGACTCCAGCTTCCTGGGAGCCACACCAGTGCCACCTTGAACTCTATGGCAACCATGGGAAAGGAAGTTCTGACCCCATCAGTGTAATTGACAACAGCAGGCCAAGGCAATGCCCAAGGAGAACCAGCAAACTTTGTCCTAAATACATACCTCTCAACTGGCCTGTCAAGGATCAAACACCACATGTTTTTTTGTTGTTGTTTGTTCTTTTTTTGTTTTGTTTTGGTTTGGTTTGTGACTTTTTTTTTTTAGACCAATCTAACACCCACAAAATGTTTTGAAAAACACTCAGCTTCAGGCTCTGGAGGTTCAGTGTGATTCAGAGATTCATTTGTTAACCAGCCTCCACTTGGCCAGGTTCTGGAAGGTTGAGAGGTGTGAGGAATACATTCCAGACAAGCCAGAGTGTGAACAGCCACAGGGGGTTCGCTACTAGAGCAGGTGAGAGTCTAGGGAATGATGCATCCCAGCCGGATGAAGATGACCAAGTCATCGAGGCAGAGGGACTGCAGAGACCTGAGGGCCCGGAGGGCTGGCGAATCTCAGGCGCCCCCCCTTCCCAGGGGGGTTTGGTGTTAAGAGGCTGAAGAAGCTCTTCTCTTCCCTGCCCGCATCTCCGGACTTGTTCTGGATTAGAGAAGACAGTTAGTCTTAAGGAGGAAGAAAGAAACTAGAGAGGGAAGCAGAGTGGAGGAAACCTCTGGATTGCCAGCTTCCACAAGGATACCAGGGGCGGGAAAGGATGAAGAAAGATCATTGGATAAGCCAAGCAAGAGAGGGAGGAATCTAGCAGGTGGGACGAGCAAGGCAAAGCAAGTATGTAATTTGCTGCTGGTGGTGGTGCCTTCTCTGTGGCCATTGTGTGACCCTCTGGACAGAAGTTCACACCAAAGGCTGGGGGATCTAACAGCTAACAAGGGCTAAGCAGATGGCTCCGTCTTTCAGCCTGGGCTCTCTCAGGACCATGTAGGAGAAGAACTTCTAGGGATGAAGGAGCAGCATCATTGCAGGAATGGCGAGGGGGCACGCACACATGCCTCTAAGAAGCTACACAGCATGCAGTCAGGTCCCACAAACGGGGACTTGGTGGGGGTGGGGGCTCACGTGGCCAGTTACCCCGGTGGCTTCCTCCAGCGTGGTTTCACAGCCTGAATCAGGGGACACGAGCTCTGGTTCTGTGCATCTTTCTTGGTGGGCGGTAGTAGAGGTGCCCTCCCAATGGTGCTGGGTAGCCAGAGGCACGACAGAAGAATATGCAACTTTGGGACTGGCCAAATCCCCAGGGGGCTGGAATTGGACAAAGCCCAGGTCTAGAAGCCTATTTTTCTGATGTTCTACCTGCCCTGGTGAGGCCTCTGGAGGCAGCTCATGTGGAAGGGCCCTCATTTCACCCTGACTGGCTCGGCAAGTCTCTGCTCCATGGGTCTCAAATATCCGAATCTTGTTAGCCACTGAGGTCTTGCTAATATCTTCCTGGGAACTCCCTTGGTCCTCAGCCTGGAGTGAAGTCTCCTTTTGCTTTCCTGAAGGGAACACACACCCCAGGAATGCAGGTCCCTCGGTTCCTTCAGGGACAACTCTGGGCTTCTTGCTGGCAACTGGAGGTGCTTTGCGTGAACCTCGTGTGTCCTTGGGCACAGGACTCTCTTCAGGAAGATGGGAGTGTTTGAGAACTACAGGGAACTGATCTCCAAAGGGATCCCCAAACAGCGAAGGCTTCCCTGACCCAGGAGAGACTGGGCTTTGAGAAGGGTCCTCCACAGCTGCCAGAACCTTGATGTGACTGGAGGAGGCTGGCAGCAGGATGACTTCCTCTCCACCCTCTGTCTTGGGTTCTACAGCCTGAGTGGAAACTGCCCTCTTCTCTTTGGGCAGAAAGCTGCTTTGGTCTGGCCTGACTGGCTTCCTAACATGAGGAGGGATGGTCCTCAGAAGCGCACAAGCCTGGGCATCTAAGTGCACCCCTCCTCCTCCACCAGGAGGGTACTTCTTCATTCTTGCAGGAGGACTTTTCTCAGTCTCCCCCATCCAATCTACACTCATGGGGGCCTCCTCATCTCCAGCTACCCCAGCCATTGGGTAGATCAGCTCTCCTTCCAGCCTTTGCTGAGCTCCTTCCCAGCCCTCATCAAAAGTCTGCCCCACAGCAGCTTCCTGCAGGTCACTAGGCCTCCCATGGTCCCTGGGGGACCAGGCTTCTTCCTCTGAGGAAGCCATAAGGGTTTCATCTTTATTCCGGCTGGATCCTGGGGCAGAACCCCTCGGGGCTGAGAGCTCCGTGTGCTCCCCTGCCAGTGCCATCCAGGTCCTATCTCCAGGACGGGCATCCAGGTGCTCTTCTCTGTCGTCTGAGGGTAGGGAGAGAGCTTGGTCTTCAGCGTCTTTCTCTCCATAGTTTAGATAGAAACTCCTCTCTGCGAAGGAGGTGTCAGTCTCATCGCTTGAGTCAGCTCTGGCTTCTGCCTGGGCTGGATCCAACAGGAAGGACTGGAGTCCTCCCTTGTCTGATGCAGGAGAAAGAACTTGTCCCCACACTGGCCCAACCCCTGTAGCCGGAGGTCTTCCCCAAGTCTGGAGCCCCTCCAGCCCCTTGCTCAGCTCTACTTGGCTCTCCAGCTGGCCATCTGAGATGCAGTGGCTCCTAGTCTTGAGCTTGGAGCCCTGGAAAAGCTTGTCTGTTGATGAGAAGCCTGCAGCTTGGGCAGCCTCTCTGGGACCTCCCTTGACACACACGCCTTCCTCTTCCATTATCTCAGAGTCTTCTGGGCTTGCAATCATCTTCCCTTGCTGTTGGGTGCTTGCTCTTCTGGCTCCTACTGCTTCTTCTGTGGCCACTTCAACTTTGAACTTGTCCACCAGAATGTCTACCTTGGAGAGTCTGCCATCAGCAAGGATCTCAGCAAGGCCTGCCTCACTTTCTTCCCGTTGTGTGGGGGCCACTGTTAGGAGGCCAAGTTCTTCTGGCCTAGTGTATACTCTTTCTATAAATACCCAATGCTCTGAGCCCTGTGTTTCAATTGGAGCAAGAAGAGTTAACATGAAATAGCAGGCACCTGAAGGGATGGCCTCTTCCCTCTATAAGAAGGGACCAATCTACCACCAAAAGGTTTGACACTGGGACTATATGTCCTAGGAACTGGCCAGGGACAGAAAGGGGTGACAAAACCCATCATCATTGTCAAAGTTCTTTTTCCCACTAAGATCCCCAAGCAATTGACTGACCCTCTTCAATCACTAATTCCAATATAGTGGGACAGGGTCTTCTGCCTCCCCAGGAACAATGGGAAAAGGGAGATCCACAGGCGGCCAGGCCTTCCTCTTCCTCTTCCTCTTCCTCTTGTAACTGAGTATTTCCCACTGTCAGCACGCACATCACAAGGAATCTCTGGATGTTGAGCCAAAAGAGCTCCAAAGACATCCAGTATCATCTCCTTTCGGGGGAAACTGAGGTCTAGAGGAGGCCAATGGCATGGTTGCAACCATTGTTGATGTAAGAGCCAGGAAAACAATGGCTGCTTTTTGATGCCTGAGCTCTTTGCTGACCTTGAAACACAGATGCCAATTGGGATCTGATGTCAAGCTGAGGGAAAACAGTGAGCTGTCTTTCACAGGCCCCACCCTAAACCAGGACCACAAGGGCTTTGGGGAAGGAAACAGATCAACAGCAATGATACCAAAACAGACAGGTTAGCACCCTTTGAAGCGATGGCTTAAGCAACCTGAACACTTTGGAGTTCTGCCCAAAAGAAATGATTTTAAGACCAATCCTTGGAGAATTCTAACAAAAGCCCATGGAAAGAATAGAAAAGAACTGACCAGAAGAATAGAAAAGAACTACAGAAGAAAAAGACCACCGGCAACATCATCATAGAGCAAAAGAGACAGAGCCTGACACTATCAGATTTCACAGAACAGCCCTACCGGTTTCCAACAGCTTAGAGGTAAGGATGGGTTTCTCGAATCATTAACAGCAGTAAGACCATTGGGATTTTAGTCTTGGGACCACAGAATACTTTCTCCCCACAAAATCTCATCAGAAGTCCATCTTTTAATAACTGTGTAAGACCGAACAGCCCTGGTGAAGCTGCAGTCCTGCATGGCCCCACAGCCTTAAGCTCCCTCTTTCCTTTGAAGTCACAGCCTTCACGATGCAGGCATGGAAATCATCTTCCAAATATAGGCCTAGGGGAGGAAAGCAATTTGACCACCTAGTCACAGAGCTTCTTTAAAGTTTAACCTTCCCACCCTACCAATACTGCCTCCTTGACAGGTGAGCCTGCCACTCCTCCCAGAGGCAGGAGACCAGAGGCTTACATGACCTTGGACTCCTTTTCAGCTTGTGACTTGGCAATGAGTCGGCCACACCCATAAGCTCTGGAAGGATCAAGGGAATACTACAAACCCGTTTTCCTAGGTCAGGGAATCTGACATCATTAACAGAATCTTACCAGTAAGAGATCAGAGGAAGGGAGTCCAGACGCAGTCTGGCCTAGCTTTCTGAGATGTTGCTTCAGGTATGTGTGCCTGAACCCTCAGAGGGACAAGTTCTGCTAGCCTGCGGCGTAAGGACCCTTCTCATCTCCTTGGGAAGCAAGCTATGCCAGTTGCTTCTATTTCAGCTTCTACCATTATCAGCCTAGTCATGGTGGTCAAAGTTGGCCAAGGAGGTCCCTCCTGGAATAGTCCCACTCCAACCCTATCTAGCAAATAGGCTAGATGAGCAATGGTGTGTGGGGGTGGAAGCTGGCACAGACTGGAAAGATTCTAGAGGCAGAGAAGGGAAAACACATGGTAATGTTTAGATAGACGCCAGGCAGCGCCAGCCCTCGTCTACATAATTAAATTTACTCCAATTGGCAACTTTGTTTCAGAAGGGGAAACCAAGGCTCCCAATGAGGAGATTTGCAGAAGATCCCACAGCGTGGTGGTGAGGGAAGAAACAAGGGCTCTACTGCTAAAAAGCAACAGTTAAGGATATGTGGGGCCCGGTTGGGATTTACGAAAAGAAAAGGACACCTTTGCTGGCACCTGTAAAGCCACATCTAGCCCTCATCACAAGACAGGGCAACGCTAGGGTATCTGCAGATAGGCCAGCCCTCGTGCTGTTCTTTCCCCTGAGTCCCTGGTTCTTCAGTGCCTTGCTTAGAGGTCCTCCCGCCATCTGATGGCACTGTTTCTGCTCCAGCCACAGGGGTGGGAGAAGGGGACAGCTCTGCTTCATGCCAGACAAGAAGAAACTTCAGAGGGTGGCTCCCCTGGTCCTTGGCTGTTCAGGCCCCACCTGAAACTCTGGATTACATTTGGGGTTCAGGAAGGGGGCTCTCTGGAACCCACACCCTAGGAGAAACTGTTGGAAGAGGTGCAGAGGGAAGGTGTTCAGTCTCCTGAGGGTGAGGGGTGTCCTCAGGGAGGCTGCAGAGCAGGTCTGTGGCCACCAGGAAGCAAGAGGAAGCTCACAGGCAACTTATCAGAAGAGCAGACTTTGGCCCAGCACTTGTGGGGCCAAAGGAGGAGAACCACGAATTTGAGTCCAGTCAGGGCAATGTGAAAAGACCTTATGGAGGAAAGAATAAGGCGGAGGGAGGGGAAAGGGAAGGGAGTAGGGAGGTGGGAATGAAAGATGGAATGAATGAATGATCCTGTTGATGACTGTAGACAGAACAGTGAGGCTGTTCTGTGACAGGCCACTGATAAAAGGTGCACAGCTTGACTCACTCCCCATAGACACCATCCTTGTTTCTAAGAGCATCTCCAGACACTAGGACATCACCATGTCCCTAACTCTGGGATGCTGTTGGCTCCTGTCTCACTGACCTCAAGAGAGAACACTGACAGGTTTGCTTTTAGTTTTCCATGGAAGAAGACTTCAGGGAGAGCTTTGGTTTGTATTTCCCTTGTGTTACGCTTGCTGATGACCCTCCCTCCTACACTGACCACACACTCACAGCAGCTACACAAGTTTTCTCTGTAGAAGGAAAAAGTCTATGTCCTCACAAGCCACACCAACAGACAGAGCAGAGGCTACATGAAGGATGTTTCCCAAGTCAGCTGATTCCCAACTCAACAGGCTACACAATCCCAGTGTGGGGCTGGGGTGGGATGTGGGGATTCCATCCCTAGCATCTACACAGGGCCACAGGAAACCCAAGAACACTCGACCTGCTCTTCTGGACAAACAAATGATGCCCTCCTCACTTAGAAGGGTAATTTTGGTAGGAAGATGTCAACCTTTGCCTGACTGGAGACTCAGATCAATGTCCCAGATGGGTTTAGATAGCTGGAAGCAGGGAAGGATGTAATACCATGCCCTAACTAGCTACCCATAGACTACAGTCAGGCTTCTCAACACAGCCAAGATCTCAGGGCAGGACACACTCAAGGGCCAAGACACTCAAGCTAAGGGTTAGAGCCTGCCTCTAGAGAGGATCATATCTTTGCCCCTTTTGAGATAGAGGCAACCAGTTCTGTCTTTCTGGGTATAGCTGTGGTCTGTCCTTCCTGGTAAGAAACAGATGATGAGGGAGGGGCTGGCCCTTCATGGATCCCTGGGATGGGGACACTTGCTATTTATAACACGGGACAATATGGGCCACCCCTGTTCTCTTCTCCATGGCAGAGTTTGGCCTATTCCCCTCACCCTAGGGAAAGGGTTTCCTTAAGATCCTAGAGGGTGGACAGGGATGGGCTGGAGGCCCAGGAGGAAGGGATGTGGGGAAGTAAAGACAGTAACCTCAGGAGATGCTGCGAGGCTTTTCTGAGTGAACACTTCCAAGCCTGCTGCCGTTCCAGGTACCAAGTCCTGCTGAGAAGTGTCCTGGGTCCTCTGGGCCTGCAGGGGAGGCCCAGGGCCGGAGGAAAGGGAGGGAGGGAGAAAGGAAAAGAGAAATTAGAGAGAGAGAGAGAGAGAGAGAGAGAGAGAACAGGAGAGACACACACAGTCTGTAAATAATCCAGCTTTATAGGCCCCACATTGTTTTGTTAGTTCACAGATTCAGTCAGGAAGGAGCCTCCCCTAGAGGGGAGATAGGGAGGGGCAATCCTGTGGCTTTTGGCCAGTGTCTCATGCCACTAACACTCAAGGGAATCTGGAATCCCATAGTTAGACTCTGACTTCAAGCCTGCCTGAGGTGTCATGGGCTTAGACTATGGTTCAAAGCTTTTAAAAGTTGTCCTTGAAAAGCTGAGGCAATGCCATAATTAATAAAGTTCTTGTACAGGCATGAGGATTTGGGTTCGGATCCCCAGCACTTGTGAAAAAAGCCAGCACACATGTGTGTTGCAGCATACATCTGTAATCCTAGCTTTGGGGAGGTGGAGACAGGCTGATCCCTTAGCCATCTCAAAGCTTGAGTCCTGATTGGCCAGTCTAGTTGAGTCCATGAGCTCTACACTCAGTGAGAGGCCTTGTCTCAAAAAGTAAAGTGGAGGGGTTTGCAAGATGGCTCAGTGGGTAAAAGTGCCTGTTGCCAAGCCTAAAAACCTAAGTTCAATCCCCAGGACCCACATGGAAGAAGGAGAGATTCTCAAAAGTTGTCCTCTGACCTCCACATACACCACACACACACACACACACACACACACACAAATAAATAAATAAAAATATAATAAAAAATAGAGTGACCGAGGAAGATACCTAGTGTCAACCTCTGGCCCCCACATGAATGCATATACACATACATGTGTGATGGATAAGTGTACACACCCACACAAACACACACACACACACCTACACCACCAACACAATTGTCTTTCAAACTAAAACCTGGGTTTGCTCAGTGGGAATTGTTCAAGTTCTTTCTGCTTTCCCTTGGCTTGGGTAGGACTCAAGCTTTGAGATGGCTAAGGGAGTTCTGGGTGGTATGCCCTCAAAGGGTCTTCCATGGAGCCATATTGGGCCAGGGATTCTAGTCACCTTCAGCAGTGGTCCCATAACCATCAACTCTTCCTAGAGGACAATGACCTTCCATCTTCATTGTTTCGGTTAGCCTTGCCAATGACCTCCTAATGGAATGACATTCTGGTCCTCTTTCAGATGGCCTATTCGAGGAGGCTTACAGAGGTGATATAGTGTTACACCCAAGGACAGAGACGAGTCCTTGTCTATGGCTCTTCCCATTTTGAAAATCTTCAAGAACCCATAAATGCCAAGGGACATAAAGAACAGTTCTAAATGGTTTATAACTCCAAGGTAGGCTCCTGTACTTCCCAGGAGTGGTAGCTAGTTTTCAGGGCTAAGGAGGTGGCAGCTGGGACAGCCTCCATCTTTAATAAGGTCCCTCTGCTGGCAGCTCCAGTTGTCACCAGCAGGTGGGGCACACCCCCAGTTCCAGGTCCTAGCTGACCTGCATTCATCTACTTACTGCTCCTTTCTCTGGGTACCTTCTACATCTCACCTCAGTTGCACCTAGGCCAAGACCTGACCCATCTCAGGACTGTTAGAAGTTACTCTGGCCAAGTCTTTCCCTAGGGAATGATGGGTGGAGAGGAGAGTGCTGTGAACCAGCTCACTACATCACAACCACAGTTCAGTCTGAGGTCTTGGTTGTGCTGGGACCACAGAAAGTCCTCAGAGGCCTGTCCAACCGCTGACATGTACACCCCGGTAACTACAAAAGATGATCGATACATTGCAGATGACAATGTCATGTCACAATGATTAAGTGGGTGCAGAGATTTATCTTCTCTCAAGGTACCAGCCTTCAATGCCCCACAAAGCATCCCTAGCTGTGTGACTTTGGCAGCAATGGAATCACAGCTGTCTCAGGAGTTTATACCTCACAAGGAAAACCCTCTGCTGTCTGGTGGCAAGGACTAGTTCAATCAACTCTCTACGAATTAAATCCTGGCTGTGTCACCAATGTCCAAAGCACTGGAGAGAAAGCACGCATACAGCTGACAATACCTGGTCTGCACGAGATTTGGTCTACACACGGCTATGAATTCATGACAAGCACAATGATGTGAACAAGCATAGCTATCACGCTGAGTCAGTCTTTGTCTCTCTGAGTCTCACTCAGTAAAAGCAGGTCTTTGAACAGAGAGGATTCCCAGGGTCCTTCCAGCTTTGATTTGGAGATCTGTAAGGCTGAGTGGAACACCAAGTAGCTCACACCAGACAGCATGCTGACCATGTGGTCCCTCCCCAGGCATTACCCCATCTGACCCTCATGACATCCCTATAAACATCTCTGCCTAACAGGGCCTCAGGGAAATGAAGTAACAAGCCAGAGTCCTCCAGCTGACAGGTAATGGAACTAGGAGCCTAAGTTTAGACCACAATCAATCTGGTGACCAGTGAGCAACAGCTCAAGGGGGAAGATACCGACACTGAAACTGGGGTAAATCCTGTCAAGGTTCAGCAAGTGCTAAAAATAATAGCTTGGGAGTATAAATACAAGATTTTCCCAAATCATTTCTTCTTCAATTGAGAAAGTACCCCCACATTTCCACCTGGAGGGTAGGACATATGGGGTCCTTCTGGGAAAGCCTCGGGAGTGGTCTGATTTGTATGGGGGACTCACAACACTAGAATTCTTCCAGCAAGGACGGTGTTTCCCCTGTACTGTCCCATAAGCTCCAAGGGGGCTGGTTCCTGTGTAGAGCTTCCGGGATTCTCAAAGTTGAATATGTAAGAGACTTGCCTAGGATACTTGTTTCAAAGGCCCGTTCCAGGGCTTTCCTGGCAAACAGCTGCTTTAGTGGGCCCCACATGCGGTCCTAGAACCTGCACACTTTAATAAGAACACTTTCCCCATTTTTCTTTGCTTGACTGAAGGGGAATACACCGAGTTACCAGGAGTTTTTGTAGGTTTTCGATGTTTTCAGATGGTCCCTAGGACCCGGTGGTTAGTGGATTTGACCCTCTCAGCATAACCTGCCTGCCCAACCCACAAGCCTAAGGCAGCGACAGGTACATATTTGTATGGCGGATGAATGTAAAAATATACTTAGCCCCCTACCCCTACCCTGTGCCTCTTTACCCAAGATCCCTGTTGAGGGCTTCAGCAGAATACCTACCTCACTGGCTTTCTCAGGGGTGCCCTTGGGGGAGGGGGAGGCGGGTGACGAGGGCAGCCTGCGCTCACGCTCCCAATCTCGATCCCGGTGGATCAGTTTGCTGTTGGGCTCCTTCAGGGTCCTCTTGAGCTCATTGATGCTGGCCTGGTGCTTCAACAGGACATCCTCTGGCTTGTCCAAGAACTAGGCACAGGGAGACTAGACTCAGCACTCTCCACCATCCCATCCCAACACTGTCACCCTCATAACAACCCAAGGAGCCAAGAGACCACTGACCAGGGGCACGGAGCACCTGAACGACAAAGAGGATAGTCTAGCAAAGTCACCCCCTCTTCTCCCCTGCCTGCCTTACCCCGGAACATTCAACTCCACTCAGCCCTCAAATCTGGGTGAGTTCCCGTTGTGCTCTGAGCCCAGATGGAGTGAGACACACAGATGACTTTCCTGTTTATCCAGGCATAGCAGGCAGCATGCACCAAGGTGAGAAGCCCATGGTGTGTTCTCTGAGCTGCACAGGCTTGCTGGCTGGATTCCCAGAACTCCCTTGAATTCTGGCTCCTACCTCTGCTCAAGACTTGAACCACTGCACTTAATATGTTCAGTCTAGGCTCTTGTGAGCCCCCATCCAACTGCTCAGGCCCTGTGGAGGCCTGGGAGAAAGATATGCCTAAGCTGGGTAGTCCAGAAAAAACGGGCCCTGTTCCCCTATTTGGGGCCAGGAAAGACTATGTAGCCCTCTGTGCCATAGGCTGCTGCCTTCTCCATCACAGAACCTCCCAGATGTCTTCTGAGTCCTCACTCTCTAAAAGCAGACAGAGTCAGATGCCATCAGCGAGACCAGGGTGCTGGCCGGGGTGGCAGTGAGAGCTCACGTGGGGTGAGAAACTAGAGGTGAGGGAGAAGCGTCGAGCTTCAAGGACCGGCTCAGGATGAGTCAGGGAGAGCTGGAGTCCCAGGTGTGCTCCTCATTAATATGACACCTGAGTCCACACCAGAGGTACAGATGGAGCAGTCTGCTTGGGCCTAGTGAGGATAAGCCAGTGTTGCTCATCTGCCTGCTTCTGGGAGAGAAAGAGTGCTGGCAGCCCAAAGACTATCTGCAAGGCTATTTGAGAACTACCTGGAAGATAAGCTTATGCTTGGGTAGGGCTAGACTCTTCCCCTGGGTTCTTCTCAGGAAGAAAGCCACACAGGAAGAATCCCAGTGAGGCTTTGCTTTCTCCCCAGACACCTGACTGGACCTCAGGCCTCCCTCCCAGGCTAAGCTGACCACAGACCGTGTGTATCTGAGAGGTCAAGTGGGTTTGTACAGGGGGTGAGAACAGGCTTCAATGGTGAGTGGGTCTTAACCCGAGATGATCCCAAATGGGCCTGCTGGCCCTGTGTAAATTGTGCCCCCAGAAATTGGAGTGTCTAGATGCCATGGCTGGGCCCTAACTGTGGCCTGCTCTCAGCAGCCCAAGAACAAACTGCATCTCCAGAGAGACCTGGACACTGTGAGGTGGAAGTGGGATCAGGAGGCAGAGGCTGATGTCGTCACTGAATAGGAAGATGAGAGAAGAGATGAGAGGAGGTGTCCAGGGAGGCATCAGCAAGCAGCCCGCTCAGGAGGGCGGTGGGACTGGAGTCTGAGCAGATGCAGATGTGCTCTGGGGACTCCTCCTTCCCCACCCAGGCCCCACCCTCACATCTGGTTGTCAAGAGATACAAAGAGCGCAGATGAGATGTAGGTGTGGCCAAACAGTGCTGTTGGGGAGGAGTTGAATCTAAGGAAGGGGAGGGTGGGAGTGGAAAGAGGAGGTAAATGAAAACACACAAGTGGGGGGTGGGGGGTGGGGGGTGGGGGAGGCAAGCAAAGACCACCAGGCCTAGCAAAGAGTGCCGCTGGGTGGAGGGCGGGGCACGCGGATGGGACTAGAACCTGACCTGGGAGCTGAAGACATGAGCTCAATGGGGAGGGCAGTGAGCAGAAAGGGAAATAATGGAAAAGAGAGTGTAGAAGTGGGCAGAAATGAAGCTGAAGCTGAGGTGGTGCCAGGGACATGAGCTGGGGACAGAGCGAGATGGTGACAAATGAATGCCTATGGAGGGAGACATGGGTCCATGCAGTACCTCCTGCTTGTGTCTTGGCGTGGTTTCCTGCTCCGGCTGGTAGGATAAGGCAGGAGGGAAAGGAACCAGCAGGGTCAGTAGAATAAACAGATTAGAGACACTACAACCAGCCTGGTCCAGCAAGGTAGCCCTGTGCACTCAGACCCAATCCCACCATTCAGTGTGGGCCAGGAGAGCTGCTAAGGTAATAACAGGTAATGGGGTCGTCAGAGGAAGGCATGGGGTAGGAAGGCAAAGGAGGGGCCGAGGGCCTGGAGTCCAAGAGGGGAGAGCACAGTCACAGGTTGGTGTGTGTCTGGTGTTTCCTGCTGCTTGTAACAGTGAACATGTGAGAGGGGGCCTGTGTTCACACTGCAGAACTACATGGCAGAAAAGGACAGCTCAGCAATGCCAAGACCCATGCCTGGCCTATGAGTGGCCAAGCCTGTGCATGTGAACATGTGATCATCATATCTGTGCAAGAGTCCAAGGCTGGGGTGCGGAGGTGTGAAGGTGAGGCTGGGCTGTGGGGGGCTGCAGGGGCATTCGCCTGTATACACTGGGGTGGGGTATCTGCAGTGTCGGGGGGCTGTGGGGGGCTGGAGAGGCATGTGCGCATATATACACTGGGGATGGGTATCTACAGTGTCGGGGGGGGGGGGGGGGGGGCTGCAGGAAAGGACACACTTACACTTCACACTGGTGACCCGATCATGCACAGGGGAGGAGAGGAGACATGGAGCCAGACCACAATTAACGGGGATACAGGAGTAAGAAACAGGGGTGAGGGTTCCTGAGTTTCCCAGGAAGTAAGCACCCGCAACATGCACCCTACTCTGCATGTCCAGTGGAATACTTCCCAAGGTCAAGGTCCTGTCCAAGGTGACTCCACAGCAAGAGTGCTTGGATACGATTAGGACACATGGAGGCCAAGGCTAAGTCTAGGCCTCAGGCCACCAACCAGGTCCCCTGAGAACAGGATACACGGCAACCCAGTGGGCTCCTACCTTCAGCTCCTTGATCTTTGTGGGGGTCCTGACCTCTCCTTCTTCAGCCTCTGATAGCCGTCCCCCTGACTCAGCATCATCTTCCCGCTTGTCACCGTCAGGCCCTGCATCATGATTCTCACTGACTGAGGCAGGGCGGGAGAACTCCGCTAAAGTGGGCAGAGGTGGTGGAGTGTCTTTGTGAGGCACCTCCTTATGCACAGTGTGAAATCCAGCCACTGCCCAACCTTCCCACTGCAACCCACTGCCCAGTGTTCCCACTGCAACCCACTGCCCAACCTTCCCACTGCAGCCTACTGCCCAGTGTTCCCACTGCAACCCACTGCCCAACCTTCCCACTGCAGCCTACTGCCCAGTGTTCCCACTGCAACCCACTGCTCAGCCTTCCCACTGCAGCCTACTGCCCAGCGTTCCCACTGCAACCCACTGCCCAGTGTTCCCACTGCAGCCCACCCCCCAGTGTTCCCACTGCAACCCACTGCTCAGCCTTCCCACTGCAGCCTACTGCCCAGTGTTCCCACTGCAACCCACTGCTCAGCCTTCCCACTGCAGCCTACTGCCCAGCGTTCCCACTGCAACCCACTGCCCAGTGTTCCCACTGCAGCCCACTGCCCAGTGTTCCCACTGCAACCCACTGCCCAACCTTCCCACTGCAGCCTACTGCCCAGTGTTCCCACTGCAACCCACTGCTCAGCCTTCCCACTGCAGCCTACTGCCCAGCGTTCCCACTGCAGCCTACTGCCCAGTGTTCCCACTGCAACCCACTGCCCAGTGTTCCCCGGTGCCCAGCTTTCCCCACTGCAACCCACTGCCTAGTGTTCCCCACTGCCCAGCCCTCACCACTGCAACCCACTGCCCAGTGTTCCCCGGTGCCCAGCCTTCCCACTGCAACCCACTGCCCAGTGTTCCCACTGCAACCCACTGCCCAGTGTTCCCCACTGCCCAGCCTTCCCACTGCAACCCACTGCCCAGCCTTCCCCACTGCAGCCAAATACCCAGTGTTCCCCACCGCAACCCACTCACTGCCCAGCCTTCCCACTGCAGCCCACTGCCCAGTGTTCCCCACTGCCCAGCCTTCCCCACTGCTCAGCCTGGTCCATAGCTGGAGAGTCACAAAGCTACTTCCCGTCTGTGGGCTCCTTCCTACCTTTCTACAGCTCTAGTGTCTGAAATCCAACCCTTCCTGGCTGCGTGATAGTGGTAAATTACACAATCCCTCTGGGCCTCAGTTTCCTCATCATTAAGTAGTATCTATGTCAGAAAGATGAGGTAAGGACTCAATAAACTAATGCATAAAATTACTTTGGAGAGTGTCAGGCCCAGAGTAAACCTTCCATCCATGCTGATCTAGCAAACACTGCTGTATATATTGTGATCCTTGGGCAATTCCCAATATATCATTATCTAGCAATACCCAGATATCATGAGACTAGCTTTTGTAAGTGACAAGTAGCAGCTTCAAATGGCTTGCTTTCTCTGTGAGTTAACAAGAATTCAACGGGATCCCTGTAATGTCTATCTCTCTTGCCACAATTTTCAAACATTTTTCTAAACAGAAGAAGGGTGGGCTTAGAGACTGCACCAGGCCCTGGGTACAACCCAAAGTGTTGCAGACTGAGCCTTAGTAGGAAAAAGGCTTCAAAAACCCATCATGATGACAACCAGAGCACACCCATTATCTTTCGGGTTGGCCACCATTAAAAAGAGATGCCAATTTGCCTTTCCTTTCAGGGCTATTTTCCTCTGCAAAGTGCCAATTCCTGCTCACTGCCTAGCTTAACTTGCATTGCACTGTGTTGTGGGCTAGCCTGGGAATATGACCTCCATTTGACTGAGGATACGTTGAGGCTCAAAGAGGAGAAGGTCCCATAGGTGTCCTTTCAGGATGTCAACACAAGAAATCCAACCTTCAGGTTAGAGTCCAGGGTTCTGCTCCCCTGACAAGCCCCCGCCCCAGCTCTGGGCTAACCTCCTTTCCCTCCAGGCTAGGATCCATTTAGCTCTGGCATAGGAATGGTAAGACCTCTCTCCTTCATGTAAACCACACGATGTCACTCTCTGGCAGAATGTCAACCTGTGCACTGCTGAGCTTCTTAGGCAGAGGCCCAGAAAATTAGATGGCAGAACCTGGGACCCCACAAGGTCACAACCCAAAGAAGTCCTGGAGTTCATGTCACATCCTGGGGGGACAGAGCTGACCTAGCACTGCTCGGGAGCAGGGGTGCTTGTCAGAACGCCACGTCTGGTGCAAATGACCTTGGGAATGTCTACCACAACTACCACGTTTGTTCTGTAGACCTGCCATGTTCGCATACCTTGCCTCTCCTGAGGACCACTCTAACCCCAGCTCCAGTATGGGCCATACCTCCATCAAGGCTGCGGGACATGGTGTATCGCTTGCTGGAGGATCGCTCAAAGAAGGGGGCAGGCCGGTCAATGAGGGCACTGGCCTGGCGGGTCTGTGCCTGGGTCCTCCCACTGTACCGGAACTTGGAGCCCATCACCAGAAAGCCCTTGGGTGGGGGCTCTGGGGACACCAGCCTAGAACAGAGCAATGGAGATGAGGAATGGGGATCTGGTCTGCATGGTCAGACCCAAAATCAGACCGCAGCAGGCTTTTCATTCCAGCGTCCCACCAACGGCAATACCTCACAGTCCAGAAAGGGAGACTTGGGGAAGGGTGGGGTATTTTTTCCTACTCCCCTGAACCTCACAGGCTCTTATTCCCCTCACCCCAGCCAGGGCAGCTTACCGGAAGAAGGTGTGGTGCTCAATGCAGACCTTCCACAGCCGCTTGGCTGAGCGGTGGTTAGGGAGCTTGAAGCCGATGGTGCTCTCAAACTGCTCGTACTGGGAAGCCAAGAAGGTGGGTTAGAGGTGAGGCCCGGCCACACTGGCCACCAGCCCATTACTCACCCTCTCCTCACAAAGGTGCAACTTCAGCCTGTCCATGCATGTAAACAGGGCAGACTTAGCCCTTTTCTGTGACAGGTCCTCCAGTGCTAACCACTGGAGACACTGGAGGGATCAACACACTTGAGTCTAGGGAATAGGAGAATAATTAAACAGGGCTGGGGAGATGGCTCAGTGGTGAAATGCTTGCCTTGCAAGCATGAGGACCTGAGTTCAAGTCCCCAGAACCTATGTAAAAGGCCAGATGGGTGTGGCAGGCCACCTGTAATTGCAGTCCCAGAAGGGGAAGATGTAGGATCCCTAGGGCAATCAGGCTAGCTAGACTAGCTATATTGGTGAGCTCTGGCTTTGCCTGTGACCCTGCCTCACTGAATAAGATGGAAGAATGATTGAGGGTGCTCTAACATCAACCTTGGGTCCCCACCTGAACACATACATACACAGACACACAAACACACTCATATACACATCACACATGCACATTCATGTACACACCACACACACATTCATAGACATATCACACAATCATGTACACACTCTCACAGACACAAGTACACACCCACACATATACACTCATGTACACACACCCAAACACACACTCATATACACACCACATACCAAACACACACTCATATACACACCACATACCACACATACACTCATGTACACACCGCACACACTGATACACACACTCAGGTACACCACACACACACTCATGTACACACCCAAACACACACTCACGTACAAACTACACACACATTGATCGATACACACACTCAGATACACACCACACATATATAAATGCACTCATGCACACACACACACACACTCATGTACACACCACACATACACTCATATACAACCACACACATGAAAAAAGAACAAAATAAAATAAATAAGATCATTGCAGATATGGGTAAGAGCTATGAGGGGAACGAAAGATCTGGGCAGGCTTGGGTGTAGCAGTGAGAAAGGGCTGCTCACCATATACATGAACTTTATGCTGCGACTGGAAGGATAGCGGTAGCCAGGACCCACAATGTCCCCAAAGGCAAAGGGGTTAAACACTTCAGCCCTGTGTGGTGCATTTGGAAGGTAAGGTAATCTTTTAAGAAGTGGGGCCTACTGGGAGTTCTTAGGACACTGGTGTGTGCCCTCAAATGCCATGCCTTTGTACTCCTTAGTTACTCTATACCTGGAGCATGGCGGGGTCACTCTACCCCTTCATGTCCTCCTGTTATGATGTACCACTTGTCCATGTCCCAAAGTCACGGAGCTAACCAAACACGGACTAACCCTCCCAAACTGTGAGCCAAAGCAAGCCTTTCTTCGCTATGGCAGATGATATTGGGTGTTCTGTTCCAGTGACAGAGGCTGGTGTGTGTGTGCAGGAGATGGCAGTGGTTGGCAGGAGCTGATGTAAGGGAAAGAGGCAGGGAGGTCAGTGAAAGGGACCATGTAGAAATATGGGTGACAAACAGTGGCTGCTGTGGCAGGCACAGTGGTGAGGAGCGCCAGGAGGGGCATGGTTACTCCAGCAATAGAATCAAAAGGGATTTTGATGGGACTCTGCAGTAAAAGGGTAGGAGGAATGGGTGTGTGCCTCTGTGTATATCCCGTGTGTTGCCACGTGCCTGTGCATGTCATGGTGGACAGACACAGTGGACTACTACACATAGGCAAATCTGTGAACAAAGACAGACATGTATTGACTTTGCGGTGTAGCCTGAATCCATGTGGTTGTCCTATGTTTGCTCATAAAGTATGTGTGTGAGTGCACATGTTGACAGGCACATGCTGCTTGAAAACACAGGGCTGGCAAGATGGCTCAGCAGATAAGCCATTTGCCTGACAACCTGAGTTCCATCCCAGGACTGATACGCTGGAATGAGAAACTGGCTGCAGCAAACTGTCCACAGGACCTGACGACCTCTGGCCTCCACATGTGCACCATGGCAAAATGTACATGTATGTGCATGCATGTGCATACACACAGACAAATAAATAAACAAAATGTGGGGTCATATGTCCAGGGTATGTAGTCTATGTAGGGAGGCAGGGAAGAGGGAGATCCATCTTCCAGGAACCCTGGAACCTTGTTCATGTTTCCTGGGTAAAAAAAACCCAGGCCAGCTGCTGGGGTCCACTCTATTAGGTTCAGTCATTCCCCCAGTAGTGTGGGGTGTGGTAGTTTGAATATAATTGGCCCCCATAATCTCATAGGAAGTGGCACTACTAGGAGGTGTGGCTTTTTTGGAGTAGGTATGGCCTTGTTGGAGGAAGTGTGTCAATGTGGGGGTGGGCTTTAAGGTTTCCTATGACCAGAATAGCTCCCAGTGTATCAGTCAACTTCCTGTGACCCGCATATCAAGATGTAGCCAGCACCACGTCTGCCTACACACTGCCATGCTCCCCGCCATGATAATGGACTGAACCTCTGAAACTGTAAGCAAGCCACCTCACTTAAATGCTGTCACGGTCATGGTGTCTGTTCACAGCAATAGAAACCTTAAGACAGGGAGGTGAGTGAAGAGAGTGGGTTTGGGGCCAGGCTCACCTCCCCAGGCCGGATCTTGATGTAGAAGTTACTCCTCTTGTAGGAGATTTTGAGAATCTTGGGCCAGGCAAAACGGTTGATTCTCAGGCGGTCCCGGTAGATGAGCAGGCCATTGGCACAGACACCCAGCATGATATCGATGCCCTCAGAGTCCTGCACAAGGAGAAAGCACGGAATGAGTGTTTGGAGCCAGGCAGGGACAGCCTGCTACCACCCTGCTCCACTTGTAATAAGCTCCTGGGGGCAGGCTGCAGTCCCTCGACTAATATTCCCCATAGTCATCTAGACATTCTCTCTGTCACTTAGTCATCGACTCACCACTAGCTTCTTCTTGCTCTGTCAATCACTCATCCACTCAACAAACATTTAGGAACACACTCACGGCAGGCCATGTGCCACACACTAGTGTGACAGAAATAAGCTAAGGCCTCAGCCTATTTCTCACACGTATCCAATCTAGTTGTGGCACAAACTACTAGGTTTGTGAGGAAATTGAATTCAAGGGGGCAATGATAAAGGTTTGAGAGAATAAAAGATTATTAACTTTGAGAAAGGAGAACCAAAGGTTCCGAGTTGGAGGCGAAGCAGCTGAGACACTAACTCTGGAGGAGCTACCCCAGGAACCTCCTAAGGTGCTGGCTTGTGGGGACTCAGTGGTACCTTAGCATGGTGCAAATCAACCCCATACATGGACAGCTTCTTGGCGTTCTCCAGGAAGTGGATCTCTGCCTCTCCAGGGGTCATGCCCCTGAGGAAAGAAAGTATGATTGTGGACATGGCAAAGGCCCAGTGTGAGTCCCACTGGTTGCAGGCATCACCATCAGAACTGGCCATTCCAGAAAGGTAGGTGGCTGAGCCTTGCCCTAGGCCCTCTCCTCTGCCCTCAGGACAGGACTGAGAGCCCCTCTACTTCAGTCCACCAAGCCCGTCTTCTACAACACTCAGGTCCAGTCTTGTTCTGTCTGTGAAGCAGACAAGGGCTAGACTGGGAGTTAGGATTTTTGTCTCAGTTCCCACCAAACTAAGTATGAAGTTCAAACATCCTTCTTCTCATGGCTGGAAGACCACTAATGAAGATGGTGTTCATTACAATCACCCAAGGGCTCCTTACACCACCCTCAGAAGATGACAGTTTCAGGTGCCACTTAGTCTCCCCTCAGAAACAGGTCCTCAGCTCCTGTCTTATGGGTTGTGTTAGGAATCAAGCTCCATCTTCGCTCTGGCTGCCAGGGAGCTCAGGCTGCAGGTTACACTCACAGAAAATACCATCAATGACTATGGCGTTCCCTCCTGTTTCAGGCACTTGACATATATGCAGCCTTTTGGCCTATACACTCTGTAGAGCAGGTATTGCTCTCAGATGAGGAAGCCAGTGCCGGGGGAGAGTCATGAGCTCACTGAAGAGCATACCGCTATTAAATAACAGCAGGGTCTGGATTTAACTCTAAGCAATGTGGCTCCAATCTGTCTTTTGCAGTCTCTGGACTCCATTTCTACCACCCTGTCGACCTTGGAGATCCTGTGTGGAATTCACAGATGCCAGCTGTCAATGTGCCTTAGTTCAAAGAGTTATGATGACCACTGTGGGTGGATGAGCAAGCACATATTGATCTATTGATCTGTCTTTCTAAGAATTATCACTCTTACAAATCCCCAGGGCACCTGCTATCTAGGACAGGCAGGGACAGCAGACGGTAGGCATGGCACCCTCATCCTGTGTCTGGTGGCCATGACCACATGTGTCTTACTCAGCATGACTCCATGGCAGTCAGTATGAACCCAGCAGGGCTGGTGTGCAAATCTCTGAGAGCATTTATTTGCCATCTTTGGCCCAGCATCCATCACACCTAGCAGGCTCATCCCCACATATGAACTCATCATATCTGGTCATGACTCTCCTCTCCAGATGCAGCCCACAGTGCACAGCCCTCCCCACTCCCTCCTTGCATAGGGATGAGATAATATCGTCAGAGTCCTTCCCACAGGGGCAGCACGGTGCCCTTAGAATGTACTTTCACATCAGGTTCTTATAACAACCTTGAGCTTGACCAAAGCACTTCTGGCTGAAAAGGGCCGATAGATTATTTTGATCCAGGGGTAGGTAGTGTTCTCTGCAGAGCAGGCACTGAGAAACGGCAGCGGACTGCAGCAATTGCTTAAGGGTAATACGGGCATTCATTCAATGTCTGCAGCCCAAGGAAGCTTAATATCCCACATGATGAATTCTGCTGTCCCAAAACCAGCGGCTGAGCAACACTCATCATCTCAGCCTGTGTATTTATAGGTGAAAATGGGGCTTACAGAGGTTCAGCAGCTAGCCCACAATCACACATCTGGCCAATTATCTTCTAACTCCAGAACAAAGTATTCAATCAACAGCTCAACAAATATGCAATCAACAACTCAACAAAGTCTGCAATCAACAACACAAATGCTCCAATTGATGGATAGCGACACTCAGCCCACATGTCACGTGGCTTTAATATTTGCTGTGTGGCCTCCTTAATAACCCCATGGGGCATGTTGACCAGCACCATGCTGAATGGGTGAACACACCAAAGCACAGTGAAGTAAAACGACCTGTCGGCACTCCCTGCTTAGAAAGAGGCACAGTCAGGTTTGGCATCTGCATTTAAATTTGGGATTTTTTTTGCCCAAACAACTACATCAGTACAGTCAGGTTTGGCATCTGCATTTAAATTTGGGATTTTTTTTGCCCAAACCATTACATCAGTCCCCTTCCCCAGAGGCATGCCGCCATTATTATAACTGAGTAACAGAAAAACTGATCCCCAGAGGCTTGGGACAGGGAATTTTACCCACACAGGAACTCAAGAAGTTGAGGTCCAAGTGGCCACTTGCAGTCATACAAATGGTCCCAGTTATTCTCACCTCATAGAAATGACCTGTTGGCAGGCACTTCGTGTAAGGAGCGGTGGCATATGTAAGACACAGCATTCAGGGCCTAGCCCTTCAACCTGAAAGGTGGGCCGCAGCCAGCGGGCCGCCAGGCTCGCTCACCTGTACGTCTTGTGCAGCTCCATGATCCTCTCCTCCAGCTCCCGGGTCTGGTTTGGGGCAAAGCGGAGCTCACTGACATAGTTGCCCATGTGCTCCTCGGCATCGTAGTCACCCAGCTCCGCCTGCACGGCATAGGAGCCCAGCAGGGCATGCGTGACAAAGGAGCAGGGCAGCCGGCCTGTGATGATGTCTGCCCTGAGCTGCAGGCACAGGTAATACCTAGAGGCAGGGAAAGAGGTGGGCATGGGTCTACACTTCCTGGTGGCCCAGACCCTGACAGCTAGGCTGTTAGAACCAAACAAAATCAGCTCCAGGGAAAATGGCACCCACAGACACTGGCATTCATTGCCGGTGAGTGGGTGTGTTCTATGAACAGGTTTTGAGACATGCCATGGGACTTCCAGCATTTTTGTTCATTTCTGAATTTGAGGATTTTTTTTTCTATTCTAAGAGAATTTCTGGGATTTATATAATTCATTTCCAAGCTCAACAGGACTACTACTGGTTTGGCCCTTGGGAGGGGGGAGGGGGAGGGTTGGGGGGTGGCGGGAGATGACTTGTAGTTTTATTTGTTTTTGTTGGTTGGTTTGTTTTGTGTAAGTGTGCATGTATGTGTGTGCAAGTACCATGGTGTGTGTGGAGGAGTCTGAGAGAGAAGTTTTTTTTTTTTCCTGGTGTTTCAAGACAGGGTTTCTCTGTGTAACCCTGGCTGTCCTGAAACTCTCTCTGTAGACCAGGTTGGCCTTGAACTCACAGAGATCCACCTGCCTCTGCCTCCTGAATGCTGGGATTAAAGGCATGTGCCACTACTGCCTGGCCAGAGGACAATTTTTTTAGCATTATATATTTTATTGTATATGAGTGAATGTTCTGCCGGCATGTATGTGTGTGTACAATGTACGTGCCTGGTGCCCATGGGGATCAGAAGAAGATGTCAGATCCCCTGACACTGGAGTTACAGACAGATAGATGTTCATGAGCCACCATGTGGGTACTGGGAACTAAACCTGGGTCCTCTGTGAGAACAAGTGCTCTTAGCCATCTCTCCAGCCCCAAAGAGCAATCTTGTTTATTGATCCTTGCCTACCACCTTGTTTGAGGCAGGGTCTTTTTGCTGTTTGATTCTGTGTATACCACTTAGGTGGCCCTGGAGCTTCTGAGGTTTCTCCCGTCTCGACTTCCTCAGCATAGGAGCACTAAGATTACACACATATTACCACATCTGTCCTTTCGCATAGGCTCGGGGGATTCAAACTCAGCTACATACTTGTGTGCAAGCACTTTACCCACTGAACCGCCTCCTTAGCCCAATTGGTTGGTTTTGAGATAGGGTTTCACTATGTAGCCCAGGCTGGCCTGGAACTCATCATATATCCCAGGATGTTCTTGAATATGAATCCTCCACCTTCCAAGTGCTGGGATTATAGGCATGCAAAAACTTATGAAATCTAGTATGTTCTGTGTTTTCTTTTTCACAGGGTACCACTGCTTAACTCAAAGTAACCCTCCCACCTCAGTCTCCCAAGTGATGGGATGATAGGCATGAACCACACCTTTTTTGCCGTGTTGGGGATGGAATCCAGGGCTCCCTACATGCCAGGCAAGCCCTCTACCAACTGAACTGCATTGCCTGCCCGCCCTACAAGTTAATATATTCTCAGAAAGAAAGGAAGGAGGAAGGAAGGAAGGAAGGAAGGAAGGAAGGAAGGAAGGAAGGGAGAGAGGGAGGGAGTTTGTGTAAGGAGGAAAGGAAGCATGTACAGGTTACAGAGTGTGCAGAGGTCAGAGGACAACTTTGGAAATAGATTCTCTTTTTTTACCATTTGGGTCCTAGGGATCAAGCTCAAGTCATTAGGCTTGGAGGAAAGTACCTTTACCTGCTCAATCATCTTGCTGGCCCTCTCCCCAAACTTTCTTCTGCCTCCAGCCCTAAGTGAATTGTTTAAAAGCCAAATTGGTCTAGAGAAGCATTTCCAGCCACCAGTTTGATGGTTTACCATTTAAGCTATTTGCGCTTCTGCAGCCACTATTCACCGAAGTAAGGCACAGGCTGCTTCATCATCAGCCAGAGCTGTCTCCTTGCCCTTTCTGCCATGTTTTGCCAATGTTTTCCTAACTGCCAAGTCTCTTCCTTCAAAGTGACTTGACTTAGTAGAATTTTTAGTGCTCTGTGACATTATTTCAAAGTTGGAAGCAAAGCCCTGGAAATGGCCACGTGCAGCCATCCGCCACCACTCACACATCACAGGAGTCCAGCATGGGCCTGTGACATTTTGTTCAAGAGTCTAAAAATTCAAAAGTCATTCCCAGCACTCCAGCCAATCCTTCATTTCAATCAATTTGTCATTCTGACCAGTTTATTTTGGGCTTCACTATTTTTGACTAAATCAGCTGCTCCTACGACCCTACCTTCTGGAGCCATCTGTGCTGGACAGGACTAACCTTCTTCCTGGTGTCCCTGGAAGCCCGAGATCCAGGGTCTGGCACCAAGGACACACCCTGGAGGCTGTGCTGGCCTGAAGCTCTGGATTTGGATATGGCTGCTGTCACCTTGGCCCCAAGCAGATCTCAGAGTCCAGAGTGGGGCTAACGAAGCCACGGCCTGGGCCCTGCTGTATCACAGGAACATCTGCCGTCTCTCCCAAGGCCAGAGACAGCATCTTGAAATTGATATATTGCTTAGTCAATGGGCATATCAAGCATTAAAAATAGATCTGATATCCAGGTCTGGCTGTACAGGCCTATAACTTCAGACTAAAAAGGCTGGGCAGGAGGGTCAGAAGTTCAAAGCCAGCCCAGGAAACTTAGTGAGACTGTCTCAGAATTTCTTAAAAAGTGGCACTGGGAAGATGGCTCAGTGGTTAAGAGCACATACTGCTTTTCCAAAGGACCTGGGTTCTGTTCCCATAGCCCATGTAGGGTGATTCACAACTGCCTGAATTGCTAGCTCCAGGTGACCTGAAACCCACTTCTGGCCTCTATAGGCACCTACCAACACATGTGGCATACCCTCACATAGACATGTACACATAAAGAAAAGTAAATACTGGGCTGGAGAGATGGCTCAGAGGTTAAGAGCACTGACTGCTCTTCCTGAGGTCCTGAGTTCAATTCCCAGCAACCACATGGTGGCTCACAACCATCTGTAATGAGATCTGGTGCCCTCTTCTGGTGTGCAGATATACATGGAAGCAGAATGTTGTATACATAATAAATAAATAAAATCTTTAAAAAAAAGTAAATATTAAAATCTTTTAAATAAAAAGAGGGTGAGTGCTTGTCTAGCATGTACAAGGTCCTGGGTTCAAGCCCCAGTACTCGAACAAAAGAAAAAAGAAAAAGAAAAGGGCCCAGTGGGAGAGAGGGAGGGCAGCTTCCAAGCCCATGTCTTATTGGGTGCAAGGCCCATAATGTGAATGGCGCCAGAGTGGGTGTCATGTAAAGAGGCCATGTTTTTGACAGGACTTAAAGGGAGGGGCTTCCCCCTGCTCCACTTTCCAGAGGCAGGATGAGCCCACACAAGCTCCCACCCGGAAGGATGCTGTCCCTACTGACAATCCCTCAGGCCACTTGAACCTATGTGGCCCATGTTCCACCCTGGCAGCCCAGGTGGTCTCCATGGGGCTCACACGCCTCCTTTCATCTCCACACGCCCAACTGCACAGAGGACACGAAACTCCCACACATGCAAGCCTCTCTTCCTCCCTTCTCAACACCACAAATTGGTGTTCCATACAGAACCTCAGACCACATGTGCCAGGTTACCTGACCCACAGAGAGTGGGTTACAAAAAGCTTGTATTCACTGTCAAGATTTAAAAAGTATTGTTTTTCCAACACAAATACCTAAATATCTGACTTCACTCAACTTTCAGGCCCAATTCCCACAGGCCAGTGACTTCCCAGAGCCTGATAGCAATCGTTTTAATTATTAAAAATATATTAGCAGTGTGTGTGTGTGTGTGTGTGTGTGTGTGTGTGTGTGTGTGTGTGTGTGTGTGTATGTGTGTGTGGTGGGAGGGAAGGAGGTAGTGATGCTAGGACATGTATGTAGAGGTCAGAGGACAACTCTGTGGCAATGATTTCTCCTTCTATTTTTACATACATTCCAGGGATTGAACTCAAGGTGCCAGGCTTGTGCAGCACGAGTCTGATGAGCTATGCTGCTAGACCACAACAACCATTTTAGATACACCTGTCCTTTTCATGGACTCCAGGGACCCCTCTGGCACCTTCTCTGGGGTTAAAGTCAGCTGCATGTGGATCCTGCTTTCCTCATGTTCTCTACTTTCTTGAGATGGTCTGTCTGGGAAAGGCATCTACATTTGCTACCCCTAAAATACAGAGCCTCCATCTCCCAGAGCCTCCATCTGCCAGAGCCTCCACCTCCCAGAGCCTCCAGCATCCTCCCAGAGCCTCCAGCAT